GGGCGCGGCCATTACAAGAATCCAACCCCATATGTAGTAACGTTTATACTTTTGTTTATGTCTTTGGGAATGCCATCATATTTCAATTTGAAAAGGTTTACGACTGACCATGTTTTCCAGATGAATTTACTTTTTTGTTTTGATAATCAGATTGGTTCGAGATTGCAGACTAACGGAAAATCAACCAACTTCTCCCTTACATTCTTACTATATCAATAACTCGATAGTTTTAATGAAACAGAAATTCAAATTGACAAACGAAGAAAGTAATTTAGCAGCGATAAGTGTATTCGGCGTCACGACAGTCGTCACTTGTTTGTAAACATAACGGTCATTCGGTTGCGAGTTCAACTCCAAGCATGGTTGTGGCCACCTATTCACAGTGGGGAGTTTTGACTGGTGGCAGCGATAGTATAGAGAGCTCCGGGAACGTACTATCGCCGTGAGGAGCTTGGTTTCTGGCGTGCCCAAGGGACGCAACTCTGCACAGCGAATCGCGGCGCCTTAGACGACTGGGCCACCGATGCCCCCTAAGCACTGAAAGAGAGCGGAGCCTCCTTCACCTGAAGGAAAAAACTGCGTCAGGGAGTGAAGATTACTATTTTCATAATTATTGATGGTCATTATATATTATGTACATGTTATGTATTATGCTTCATGTATATGATGTAAAACTACTTAACTGAGCAATATATTCCAAAGTATTAAGCAATAATAAATACAAAATATTTTGTTTTGTACCAGTTGTTGACGACGGGAGTAGTCTATTCAAATTTAAGGGAATATATCCCACACCTGATGTGCCCTTATACAGTCATGTGCAACTTATATTAGCCCACCTTCAAAATGGCGGCGCATTGTTTACATTAGCAACCTCGTCTTTCAAAGTCCATAACTTAAAATCTATTTGTCACATGCCTTTAATATTTTGTGAGATGACCTTTCATCTTTATAACATGCAAAAGCCGCTTCGGAATCGTCGAATATAATCCTTGAACATACACAAGCGGTATATTTTGCCAATATGCATGGTTCTCGTTGAAAAGTTACTTGGTTGTCTTCCATATATACTGAACCAAATTAAAAACTTCACAATCCTAAAATTTTAACATTTTGACCAGTTATCATTGTGGGCCCTTATTATGTATTTAAACAGTAAAGGCCACGTATTGTCTTCAGATAACACCCGTTTTTGTGCAGGTGAATCGATCAAAATCATGTACACAGCACCATAGTGGCAAAAGTGTTTTTTCCCGTGCAACTGGTCACGTGGCCATAATACCGCACGTGTTTTCAGCCATACTTGTTAGCAGTCATTAACAAAAAAAGAAAAACACAAGAAAACAAAAGTCTTTACGGCCATTTGTCATGCCACGCCTTTCAAATGTGCAACGTGAACGTGCCATCGGCATGTTGCAGACGGGAACGTCCGTAGCTGAAGTCGCAAGGACGATGGGTTGTAGTCGACGGGCTGTTTATGATTTACAGACGCGTCTACAGCAAACGGGTACCACCGCTGATCGCCATCGGCCAGCTCGACCACGTGTGACGTCACATGCAGAGGATCGTCAGATTGTCTTACGTCACCTCCGTAACCGATTTTTGACGGCTACATCAACCAGAAATGAACTGTTTAGGGGTAGAGTGAGTGCGCAAACTGTTCGAAACCGTCTGAGAACTGCTCACCTTCAAGCACGACGGCCAAACTGGGGGCCGATTCTGACTCAATTACACAGACGTCAACGTCAATTGTGGGCACAGCGACACTTACGATGGATTTAGAGGAATTGGAATCAAGTCGTCTTCAATGATGAATCCCATTTTAATCTTCGATTTGCTGATGGTAGGGCGAGGGTGTAGAGGCGCCGTCATGAACGTTACGCCCAGATTTCGAGGCGGAAGTGTCATGGTGTGGGGTGCTTTCTGTGGCAATGCACGTTCCAGGCTTCTTTTCATTCGTGGCTACCTCAACGCCGCTGCTTACCGCGACCAGGTACTGGCACCAGAACTTCTGCCTTTTATGGCAGCACATGGACCCGGTTTGATCTTCCAACACGACAATGCCAGACCCCACACAGCAATTTTGACAAGGAAGTTCCTTCAGAATGCGGGAGTCAACGTCATGGACTGGCCGTCAAGGTCTCCCGACCTCAATCCCATCGAACACGTCTGGGATGCTCTTGGCAGAAGTCTGCGCACTCTCCAGAACCAACCACAGAATTTGTAAGATCTTGGCACCATTTTGCAGTAACAATGGCGTCGTCTTCCCAATCATGTGTTCACAAGTATCACAAGGTCCATGCGGAGGCGTTGTGTGGCAGTTGTCAACGCACATGGTGGCCATACACGCCACTGAACTTGTGCGCCATCAGATTCTCGTGCTTGGGACTTATGATTTAAACTGTAAATGTTATTACCGAATACCGTAGGTGCTTGGAACAAATTATGGTTACCACCGTTAATTAAAATCCTTCTTTGGACATTAATGATTAAAAATTACCTTCTCTGATACATTTGTCCGTTGTATATCATATATGGGATTACTTTTAAAAATGTGAAGTTTTTAATTTGACTCAGTATACTTTTTTAGTTTTGCCGCACGATGTACAGGGGGATTATCGTCTTGGAAGACATAATCTCCGTCGGGAAAATGACGGGCAATAACTGGCCACAAATTAGTGTCAATTACATCCATATATTTGTCAGCATTTATATTTTTATTTCTACGGGAACTAAAGTTCCGACACCCTTAAAAGTTACGCAACCCCATATCATCAAAGACACCTTATGTCCCTGGGGTGGGCACACACACTCTGGCCTGTATGCTTCATCGGACTTCCTCCATACATACACACGGTTGTCAGTACCAATAACAATTTTACTCTCGTCTGAAAATATCACCTTTTTCCAGAAAGGATCTACACTTTCTTTTCTCCGCTCTTTACACCATGAAACATGTTTAATTCTATTCACCTGGCGCACAACCAATTTTTCTTAGCAATTCGTCTAAAATATCCTTCAGAGTGCAATGCATGCTGGACACTTCGTTCCGAAAAAACTTGATCCTTATTTGAATTAAATTCACTTGTAATTTCCTTCAAAGTCATTCGTCGATTATTTTTCGCAAGTCTAATAAACGAGGTGCGATCACGTCCATCAACGGATTTTCTTCGTGATCTCCGAGGTACGTAGATTTTCGACGGATCCATTGCGGCAATATTTATGAATAATACATCTAACTGTAGATCGAGGAATCTTCAAGAGATCAGCAATTTGTCTCTGACTTCTACCGATTTCAAATTGTTTTGCACTTATGTCTTTGAGAGGCCCGCCTAGCTCATTACTTTCTCGGGGGCGGTCGGGTAGCCTAGTGGTTAAAGCGTTCGCTCGTCACGCCGAAGACCCGGGTTCGATTCCCGACATGGGTACAATGTGTGAAGCCCATTTCTGGTGTCCCCCGCCGTGATATTGCTGGAATATTGCTAAAAGCGGCGTAAAACCATACTCACTCATTCATTACTTTCTCGACCCATCTCGGCTTTCCGGTCACTAATTAATGTAATGTGAGACGTAATGCACCCACTAAAATAATTATTCGACGTCAGGTTGCAATACGCGAGAAGAAAGAAGCGAGTTAAACTTTACACGCACGTGGTTAGGCCAATATAATGGTGCTTTTAGACTAAAATCTAGTCTCTGAAATGAACATATCGTACATAAAAAAACAGTTGTTTAGTTATCTTAATAAAAATATAATAAAAAGGAGCCCAGTGACTCTCTTCATTTTCAGACATTACATTAGAGTTACGAACATGATTTTATGATCTAATTTTGTTAGCAGCAGCAGTGGTAGCAGTACTACTAGATCGTTATTCATATAGTTCTTTGTTGGGGGTGAGTTTCACGTCTATAACAATCTATCCAATACACTGCTGGGCAACGGAAAGTATGGACCCATGTTTGATGAATGCTAAAATTGTAACAAACAAGAAATGATATTCGGTGCTTATATATTTCATACGGGTCTCCTCGTTATGCGTTGATTTGCAGTGTTTCGGCGACTGTTTACAGCCTAGTAACTTGTATATAGGTAACAATTGTATTTGGGTAGTCGAATTCAACTTTCGCTTGCTCGGCAGTTTATTAATATGGGGCTTTGACCATTTGAGATTAGACTAACATCTAGTCTCTAAAATGAACATATCGTACATAAAAAAACAGTTGTTCAGTTATCTTAATAAAAATATAATAAAAAGGAGCCCAGTGACTCTCTTCATTTTCAGATACTGCAGTGATCTAGACTTGCCAAACATTATAGACTTGCATGGGCTGTATTTGATATATATTTGTATCAGGGTCTGTAAGACAGACTATGGTGCTTTAAGCAGTCTGACAAATGAGGTGTCTGACTAACCTTTTGTTGTGGTATGTGAGACTGGTACGCAGGCCCCAGCTTACCGTAAATCCTTGAATAAACTAAAACAAAATTTGGTTACGTAATGCTCCTTTTTCAAAACATCCAGTTTAAAGTTTGGAAGATTGTTCGCCCAAACCATTACCGCACCTTAACTTGCGCTTTATCGAGCGACCGGTAGCACCCTATTCATGGATCATTAATGAGTGGTTTGGTACCAGTAGAAAACATGAATCAATACGATTAAAACAGTTTTGTTACAATACGTTCCTGTCTGTACGCTTCACTGAGATTTTAAAGAGTGAAAATACCGTGAATCACACCAATTAATGTCTGTAAGGATCCATACCGTAAAAGTTGGAGGAACAGCACGTGAAAAGAAAACACAAGGCCTTGGTGCAAAAATCCCCTTCTGAAAAAAATAAAAGTCCGCCTTGAAAAAACGCCGGGTCTCGGAACCTTCCGAAATACATAAATGTCGCGCGTTTATTCAAGAGTTTACGGTAGCTGCAGGACCTATCAGTATTAAAGTGAGACAGTTTCACAAACACCTCGCTGTCACTCGTACCTAGCGACAATGGCTGAGCTCTCTGGGAAAACACTGTTTTCTATGAAAACAGTATGTATTGTAATCGGTGCCAGCAGAGGTATTGGAAGAAGTATCGTCGTCAACTTTGCGTCTAAATTTCAGTCAGGATCCCTCGTCGTAGCGTTAGCGAGGGATTCGGAACAGCTGGCTGTGACGAAGACATTGTCAACGCAAGCAAATCCCGGTGTTGCGTGTCTGACCCGTGTTTTTGACCAGGGATCGCTTGATCAACATCAGTACGATACATGGCTCAAAGACTGTCTTCAGGTAGGTACATCGAGTTATTTACATCGCACAGATTGTAAACAAAGGCTGACGTTTAGTCATAACATTGAGGTATCATATAATTACTCATGGGGTGACGGCGAACAGACATCACAGCGTTATCTGAATTGTCCGAGAGCACAGGGGCTGTCAGAAGTCACCAGGTACTTTCGTCAGCATGTCACATAATTCACGGACCTCTGTGACCATGTTAAGTAGGTCCGTGCTTAATTCTTCCCCGCCCTGAAAACTTATGTTCTTAACTTGCCAACATTTTGACCAGAAATATTGATATCTGCTGCAAAAGCATGTTTAAGAATGACATTTGTTGTGTTATCTAAATAGGACTTGTAATCATTTATTTGTTTTTATTGGTACAAATAGTGGGTATATATCACGTTCTGCCTGACAGGCCCAGCTTTCTTGCCTGGGTTTTCCTTGTGCTGACCATTTAAAGACACTGTTTCTTTTGTTGTGCTTTCTAAAGATAACTACATTAATAACAAGCAATTTGTACTTTACACCATTTCTCTCCACTTCCTTCCTCTGCACATAACATTATATTGTGGGGAGCTATTGATGCTCTGCAGCAATCTCTACTTGTTTGACTGTCACGTACATTCATCGCCCAAACCACCCTTCGAGGCCTCTAGCCTCGTATGATAGAGTGAGTGAGTATGGTTTTACGCCGCTTTTAGCAATATTCCAGCAATATCACGGCGGGGAACACCAGAAATGGGCTTCACACATTGTACCCATGTCGGGAATCGAACCCTGGTCTTCAGCATGACGAGCGAACGCTTTAACCACTAGGCTACCCGACCGCCCCCGTATGATAGATATCTACTTGGGTGCCAATGTATATATTCCTGTGCTCGGATAAATGACTTCTCCAAATTGAAACCACGTGGGAAGGTATTATTACTATGGCTACTTAGACGTTGTTAAAACATAGGCCTACTCTAGGAGATTACCCTAGAAACGTATTACCATTGGGATTCATACTATTTCATATCCTATTTAAAAGTGTTGAAATTAACTTTAAAATCACAGAACTTCTAAAATTCACATGTCGGCATCGTTTGCATGTCAATATATATAATATCACGTGACCAAAAATATGACAGTTTCTAGGGACGGGTCATAATAAATGATACACATTTGGGGAGGGTCATGAATATATGGGCTTTCATAATCTGTACAAGGACATGGGGAGAATCATCGGATGATATGAACAGCTTTCGGGGAGGACATTGTTTTCAGTACTTTCGTGCAGCAAAAACCTCTGACCCCCGTAAAAATGATACGTCCTTTATTGTCGTAGGACGATCCCCGGCTCGGAGTCAGTATACTGTGTCTGTGACTGTGTCTGAGTGGGGTTTTCATGTTAAACTGCGGCATGGTATCTCAGTGAGCTAGCACTATAAATCGGCATCAGTCAAGCAGCCACACACACACACACACACACACACACAAACACACACACACACACACACACACACACACACACACACACACAGAGACAAACACACACACACACACACACACACACATGCATGCACGTCGCTATATAAGTGCAATAATCCTGGACGCGACGTTAAACCCCATTTCACCTCACCTCACCCCGTAGGACGCTTGATAAGGCGGTATGTCATTTTTAGCACCCGATGCATGGTTACCTCTCTTCAGGCATACTGTGTATCTTTCTTTTCCATCCTAGCAAGTCTAATGTTGTGCTGTTTGTCAAAGGTCAAGGTCACACTTTGAGGTTTTTGTATCGTTTACGGATCTGCTTCTTTTTGTGTGCACTAGTAAATGCCAATACCTCTTGTAGTTATCTTATATCAATTTATTTACCTTTGATACTGTTCAAAGCAGTGTTACGCCCTGATTATGTTTCTAGGTTTGTCAGCACCATGCCCGTGCTCGTGGGTTCCACCAAAGCGGTAAACGTCTGAGACCTCCATCACTTCGAGCTTTCCTCCCACATGCCGTGATATAACTGAAATACTGTTCAAACCAGCGTTAAACTCAACTCACTCAAAGCGGTGTGCCACTCATTTCATACCTTCACAACTGTTACTTCAGAATTGGACTTATTTCCCTTCTATGATCTTTGGTTGGTTGTTTGTCGATTTGTCAGTGGCAGTTGTTTCTTTTCGACTTCTTTTTTTCAAAGCTGTTTTCATTTTAGAGAAATGTATACAAGCATATGTCACAAATTTCACTGATGGACATATGCATGTATACATTCAGCTATATTGGTTTTTTTTCAAAAGTTCGCCACACTTATCACTCTGTAGATGTTTGTAAACAAGGTAAGGGACGGACAATGTGTTGTTTGGGTCAGCTTGGGATTTTGTATGGAGACTTAGATATAGGTAATGAAAATCACTAGTCTAAATATCTTCTTATTAAGAAACCCAACATCTTCGAAACGCTGACAATTTGTAACATAGATGACACTTGAAATACGTTGTCCTTCTCACCCGATTGACGCTGTTGCAGGGAAGAACGGCAAGCGAGTTCCAGCAAGCAGTGATCATACACAACGCTGCGTCTATTGGAAGCGAGTTCTGTGAGAATTTGACAGAGGTGAACCAAGTGTCCCAATACCTCAACATTAACGTGGCCGGACTTGTTGCAGTGAATGCTCGTTTTATGCAGGAGTTTAAAGATGTACCTTCTAAAGTGGTTGTCAACATTACTTCAGCCTCTGCTCTGCAACCTACGGCCAGCTGGGGACTTTATGGTTCAGGTTATTATTATTACTATTATTGTTGTTGTTTACATATTAAAGAGGGTTTGGGTGATCCTGACACAGTCAGGCTGGTTAGGCTCATCATCAGCTCAGGGCCCTTGCCACCTCTACACGCAGCCCAGACAGCGAATGAGACTTCAGAAGCGCTGACAGTCAAACCCACCCAGAACTTTTCGGATAATGTGAAGACTCCCAAACACTGCAACCTTCTGCATTACCCAGATTGTCAGAAGGGCTGATCCGGGTACTCTCCCAATGTCAGTCAACAGATTGGGAGGTACCAAACCTAAGGCACCGAGAACAATGGGAAGTCGGACAACTTGGTACTTGAGATGTAAGCGTGACATTTCGAAAGCGAGGTCTGCATGTTTGCCACGTTTTTCCTGAATCTTGTCAATCACATAAGTGTCAAAGGGGACAGAAAATCCAATGATACTCTTGGACAATGATTAATGATTGAGGTGGCCCGTATAATTTGGGTTAGATTTGCTCTTCGGCAATCGATGGCGTCTTGTCGTAAGCGGCGACTAATGGATCTTATCGTATCCCAATTGTATATATTGATGCTCATGATGTCAATCACTGGATTGTCAAGTCAAGACACGATTATTTACAGACTGCCGTCATATAACTAGAATATTGCTAAGTGCGGCGTTAAACCAAAAAATTATTAAAAAATGATTGAGTATAAAATATTGATGGATAAATCATATTGATGTGCTTCTGATATTCTGAGCGCCAAGGGTCTGGAATTTCGAAACGATCTTCGTTAAGATAATTTACCAACAGAACTGATGACTCCCACCTGCAGAAAGGGATGTAAGCGCTTCCACTCATGAACCTCTTCTGAAGCATGGTAAGTCCAATCGTCGTCGCGCTAAGATCGCTTTGTGCAATTTGACCCTGTAGTGTAGTAAGTATCGTAAATAGGAAGAATAAGCACCATATTTGTATGTTCCAGGCAAGGCTTTCCGTGACATGTTCATGAGGACGCTGGCACTGGAGCACCCCGACTTCCGGGTTTTGAACTATGCCCCGGGTCCTGTTGACACGGACATGTTCCATTCGAGTCTCCAAAAAACAAAAGATGAAAACCTTCTCGAAGCCATAAAAGGTATGTGCTACACGGGATCAGTAGCAGTGAGAAACGATTTGAATTGATTATTCTTTCCCGCCCTGAAGGCGGGGAAGTATAGGGGAAACGTTAATTTTGTATCATGTATGTCGACATGTTGGTTTATTTGAATTTCAAGCCACGCATTTACGGAAACAAAACATACAAATTTCCAGCAATAGGAGATACTTCAAAATCGTCTTTATGTAGTTAATTGATGCACCTGGCCGTTTCTGGTCATTAGCTGACATTATTAAACCATTCATGTGTAATCCGATGTCCTTTTTTTCCCCTCAAGGACTAATTTTCTGATTTTCACGGTGCATACAAAAGAAGAACTGTACTCCAGAGATCGTAAATAACAGCATAATATAAAATAAGTTCTGAATATGCTTATTCATGAACAAAGACGACATCTCAATTTAAATGTAATATGGCTGAATTCCACATTCTACATACCACACTTTTGATTGCGTTGATGCTCATGTTCACTGGAAATATTTGGAATAGTTATATTCCGTATTTTGAATTAACCCAGTCCCCCGTGTTTTTTTAAATCAGTGCACCGCATAGCCACATGTGAAACGTTTGGTAGCAAAGTCAAAGCAAAATCGGAAATGTGTGTCGGCGAATTTGCATCAAGGCTGTAGTATTTTTCAACCGTTTAATGGAATTCAATGTACAGCCGTAGCTCTTGTCGCTATCATATATTTTGTGTCCCATGGCTCAAATCTATTTGCGTCTGTACCGTGTTCCACTGACCGCGATAATCTGTTGGATGAAGGCACAGCTCTCTACAGTCACATAGTTAACACCAAAGGCTATGAGGGGTATTTAGGTTATGAGGGGTATTTAGGTTATGAGGGGTATTTAGGTCATAATCAGTTTTATGGCCCCGTCACAGGGAAAACAAATGTCATAGAATTATTTCAACAAGCAATATTGATATCCCAGTCACTTTTGGTAACTTTTAATGATGTCTCTATTGCAATTTTTACGGATTTTGATTCGTATGCATTATTTTACTCTCATCAGCGGAATGGTTTGGGTCAGACTGATCCGAATGGACAAGCAGTTTTACTTCTGTTTATGGATGGATGAATTGTTACGTTACATCTTAACAGTATACCAGGCGACTATGCTTGTCGTAAGAGGCGACTAACGGGATCGGGTGGTCAGGCTTTGGTTGATGCATGGCATCGATCCCAATTGCGTGGATCGACGCTCATGATATTAATCTGGTCCAGACTCGATTATTTTACAGAACGCCGTCATATAGTTGGAATATTGCCGAGTGCGGCGTTAAACGACAAACCAATCAATCATCATCATATGAACTCAAACCAGTAAGTGTTACAAGTAAACCACATTCCACAACAGTTACTGACACTGGATAAAAAAAACGGTACATAGAAAAAGACCAAGTAACTCAACTCATCATGATCACAATTACTATTCTTTGAAAGAAAGAAATACAAAAAAGAAACTGACCAAAAACTGTAAAACAAGAGACAAGGAATCTCCGTTATTGATTAGTCCCGGTATTGAAATGATCTCCAACTACGTGATAATATTTTGAGTATGTGCATCTGTGGTTGTTACAAAAAGACCTTATCTAGTATGACTTTTTTGCCATATGGAGCCCTTAGTATTTTCATTTACATTATTATAACCACATGCCAAGTGTGAAAAGAATGTGATCTATTATTTGAGTATGTGCATCTGCCAATGTTGTTGGCAGTTTTGATACCATTTCAACATGTTTACATTTGTGCCAGAAATTGCTTCCATTTCCTTCGATCTACTTTTTAAGTAAAGAGCCAGGTTAGAATAGGTCTTCAGCAACCCATGCTTGCCGTAAGAGGCGACGAACAGGATTGGGTAGTCAGGCTCGCCGATTTGGTCGATGCATAACATCATATTCCAATTGCGTAGTTCGATGATCTTGGTGTCAATCAATTTGAGTGTTTTCTTGTTATTTAACGAACTGGGTCACGCCGATGGCTGGGTTTGATTCCTAACATAGGTACAATGTGTAACTCCAATTTCTGATGTCCCCGCTGTAATATTGCTGGAATATTGGTAAAAGCGGCTAAAAATCATACTCACTCCTTAACAAGGGTTTACCTGGTGGGATTTCGAACGAAATAAGCTTAGCGGGCAAATTGAAAAAAAAGATTCTGACAACCATTACAATCTCCCCCACCTCGATCACCTATGACACAGAACCCCATTTTTCTACACCTAGGCCGCCTCCTTCCCTTGCTTACCAACCGGAAGTGGCCTGTGCTTGATCTCTTAGTTTTCCTTCTCATCGCACACGGGGTCACACCTTCTGGAGAGTTCAAGGTCGGGGGTTTGATCCCCAGGAGTCGTACGCTCAACGCACGCATGCACGTGTAGCAGGGCGCGTGAAGTCATCCCACAGATGGCATCCTTACCTTGTCAGCATGCTGACGGGGTTAACCTCTTTGGTCATGTGGACAAGGCGTTCGACCTCGGATCAGAAGGTCCGTGGTTCGAATCCCATCACGGTGCTCGGAAATTTTATGGCCGCGACACTGGCGCCCAGCGTGGGGCTGAGCACGTTCATTTTAAATTTGAGCAAAATAAATCTCAGTACCCTACTTTGCGGCCCGGGACGTGCCTTCTGTTGACGGAAGAGTATGTAGCAGGGCGTGGAGTCATCCCACAGATGACATCCTTACCTTGTCAGCTTGCTGACGGGGTTAACCTCTTTGGTCATGTGGACAAGGCGTCCGTCCACGGAACAGAAGGTCTGTGGTTCGAATCCCATCACGGTACTCGGAATAAACTTGTCAGTGAGATGAAAATCTACACTATATAGTGTAAATAAACACTGTAGACATAGAAATGTGGTAGAAATAGATTTTGTACTATAATCAATACTCTGTAAAAGTCAATATGATTATTAATTTCAAACAAATGTACACATGATAAACATATATAATATATATATATATATATATATATATATATATATATATATATATATATATATATATATATAATACAACTCTGCACAGCAAATCGCGGCGCCTTAGACGATTTGGCCACCCGTGCCACCACACGCTCTTAGAACTTGTGAAATAAGGTTTCAAAAAGTGCTCTGGACTAGTCTTATTAAAACGTCTTAAACATTTCTAAGGCTGTTGTGGCTTGAATATAGCTGACTTGGGTATTAGATAAACATTCATTCACATACTATTTTTCAACCCTTTATAAGTTTGCGCTTTCAACTCTGCTAATTGTGTTTCAAAACAACTGTTTTGACCTGGAACTATTGTTGCATTACTCGTATGAATGAAATATGATTCTGAAGCCTATGTAATAGTGTTTTGCTGAATTGGATTATTTTAAGATTGTGTTGCCTTTAAAAATATTGCTTTGGGTAGAAATAACATTAAGAGTCGGGTTGCCCCCTTGTCATTAAAACATATTTTTTCAATTTCAAAATCTGTAACAATACAACTAATAAAATTGGCAATACCAACAACTGAGAAGCATAATTCTGGCCGTTCATCAGCACTGCTTCCTTAACATGCTGAAAGCATCTGGATTCTTATGATGCCATTACTGCTTAAGGTGATATTGATATAGTGTAAAAGTGCTCTGTACAAAATCGTCGTGCAGAGTTTTGTCCCTTGGGCACATCAGAAACCTATGATGTTGGTTTGAATCCGGGTTTGCAACCATCATGTTTCTAGGTTTGTCAGCACTGTACCAATGCAAAGTGGCACACGTCAGAGACGCATCACTTCGGGCTTTCCTCCACGCACCGTGATATAACTGGAGTACTGTTCAAAGTTAAACCCAACTCACTCACACACTCAGTGTACAAGATCTTTGTGTCTGAGCCAAAACTTTTTTTAAATTTTAACAGGGATGGTATTTATTACCTAAGGTTACATGATTGAACGAGTTTAAAAAGACACTTCTGTACTACAATAATCTAAAATGCATTTGTCTTTCAGACATGAAGAAGCGTTTCCTCACCCCTGACACTACAGTCAACAGACTCATCGCCATACTGGAGAAAAATGTTTTTGAAAGTGGAGCTCATGTTGATTACTTCGATGATCAATGATATCAGTAAAACAAGAAAGACTGTTGGAATCTTTGCATAATATGGTACATTTCAAAATGTTGGATTGAATAACATACTTACGTGGTATATGATGTATTACAAGAAGGTATGGGAATTAATGCTTGCCTGTAGGCCCGAGGTTAGTAGAAAGTACCTCGGGCTAATAAAATTCTTATTCTACTACCCCGTAGTGCCTGTAAATTCTGTTACGCTTGCTACAAATTACCTGTCGTCCTCTCGATTTCCCCTGTCAAATTGCTGCGCATTTGGCATAACTTTTCGAGTCTTTCTCGAAATGAATAATATACCCAATTCCCGAGTTCACCCAATGTATAGCTTCTGACTGAGTCTAAATATTTGAATGTTTAGATGCACATAAAAGATTGAAGTTTGAAAATCTACTTATTGTGAGCGTGTTGGGATTTTGAGTTAATTACCATCCATGAAAAATCAGAACACTATTCCCTCCCTATTTGTGAGATGCTGCTTTCTCACTCTCAGTGGTTGGTCCGTGTGTGGTAAGTATGGCGCTGATTGGGGTTCAATACCTGTGAATGTAGTGGCGAGACAGTGGGGTTATTAGCGGTTCTTTATTTGAGTACCCACGCACATTACCTAATTTACGGATCCCCTATTACACAGATGATCTATTACCGCTTGAGGAAATCAAAGCTAACGTCACCTAAAGAATGTCATTGATTTACGTTGGCAGTGTCCATTATCGGTTATAGAGCATACATTGGCGCCAGTACTGTCTTTCTTTCCTGCATATACCATCTTCCCCAGGCAAGAGAGTTAAATAGCTACAAAAGACCAGTTTCCATCCTTGCCGAACTGGGCTGGTATTATTGTGTTATATTTGGGCTGGACTAACGAGTCTTTGCATAGTCCAATCAAAATCACGCAGCGAAATCGAAATCCGGTTTGTAAACTGTCGTGCAGATTTCGGTCGATTTAAAGATTTGTAAAGCATGTGTACCGCCATCTCGTTGTCAACAGATATTTTCCAAATCTGTTCATGTTTTTAATCAATGTGCTCACTTGATTTGATGCACTTCGCGATGTAAGACCTGTTTTAGCACAATATAGATCTTATTCGATCAGATCGTCTTGACTGGGCGCCGCCATTTTGCTTGAAGCAAATGCAAGTGATACAAGAGATGGAATCTGATTAGTCCATAGGAGAGGCATAGAAGGGACATAACTCGTAATGGCCACTGGTGGCGCTAGGATAGAGCCCAGGTATTCCAGCCAAGTTCGGCAAGGGTGGAAACTGGACTTTTAAAGTCAGTTAACTCCCTTGCCTCGGGAAGATGGCATATACTGGTATAATCTCTATGTATCACATGTTATGATTTATGAGGAAACTTGACTTAACTTTTTATATGAGCATTGTCCATTGGAATTGTATGGTGCACTGATTATTGCGTAAGTTCAGTCATGCCATGCTGAACATCAACACACGCAATATGGTACTGCCCTCCAAATAACATGAACCTTATCTATTATAACAGTATTATCGAGAATGTACGAGCTCCGCGAGGTACACCCATGACAACCGCCTAGAAACCGTCTCGATGTTGCAGTCGACCAGGGTGGTGAGAGCTAAGGACAGATCCATCAATGGCTACGTACATGTCTGAGACTACAACAACACAGTTATCCATCTTATCGGATAACTAGATGTATAGTTATGACTCAGGGCTGATGTAAAGCATTTTTTTCACATATGTGTGAATATTCATGTATGATGTATGACTATGCATAGCTGTTTAATCGTGCTGATGTAACCATCCTCTATTTAATTGTAACAGTGTATGAAAGGACACATTGTTCATACAGACATGTAAAATAAAACGTCTAAGGCGCCGCGATTCGCTGTGCAGAGTTGCGTCCCTTGGGTACACCAGAAACCTATGATTGTGGGTTCGATTTCCGGTTCGCCTCGATTATGTTTCTAGGTTTGTAAGCACCATACCCGTGCTCGTGGGTTTCACCGAAGTGGTAAACGTCTGAGACCTGCATCACTTCGGGCTTTCCTCCCACATTAAGCTGACACGCCGTGATATAACTGAAATACTGTTAAAAGCGGCGTTAAACCCAACTCACTCACATTTGTCCTATAAGTGGTCCCTCCTACGGATTAGGGGCGGTGGGGTAGCCTCGAGGTTGTAGTGTTTGCTCTTCACGCCAAAGACCCGGATTCGATTCCCGACATGGGTGCAACATGTGAGACCCATTAATGGCATCCCCCCGCCGTGATATTGCTGGAATACTGCGAAAAGGGCATATAACCATAGCACAATGTGTTCAGAACAACCAGCTTGCCCAGTGAATTATATCTGTGTGTAGACCCTTTGGACATTTTTCTTTTTCTTCAGCATTTTCGGGAACAGTATATATATGTATTTTAAAAGAATTTCCTGGCCCATGACAGAATACCGGACTTCCCTTCAATAATATGTTGAAATGCTGTGAAATAACTTAAATAATTTGAAAAGTGGTCACAAACTCCCTGAGCTTGCCACCATTATTAACCATATACCGCCGTCACATAGCTGGAGTATTGCTGAGTGGCGTTAAACAACGAACAAAAAAAATAAAAAATTAACCATACATATATATGTATAGCGCGCACTGGAATGTGCTGGATAAATGCTCGTGCATACTCAGATCAGTTGACCGCCTCTGTGGTCTAATGGTAGAGCTTCCGCCCGGCTGCGTCATACCAAAAAACATTAAAAGATGGTACTTGTTTTTACCCTGTCTAGCGCTCGGCATTAAGGGGCTAAAACAAGGACTGGTCGGCTCGGAGTCAGCATACTGTGTCTGAGTGGGGTATTCAAGTGACACTGCGGCATGGTATCTAAGTGGGCTATCACTAAACATCGGCATTAGTCCGGACTAGTACAAACAGCCACACACATATAAGTGCAATAATCTTTAAGGCGACGTTAAACCCAATTTCATCTCAACCTCACTTGTTTAACGCCGCACTCAGCAGTATTCCACCTATATGACGACAGTCTGTAAATAATCGAGTATGGATCAGACAATCCAGTGATTGACATCATGCGCATCGAAGTCACAAAGGGACTATCTTGCAGCCATACAGGCAACGCGACCAGAATTCATAGAACGACGGTGTCGTTGCGTTGAATATAACAAAACCATATTCACTGAACCACGGTTACACAACCCACAGAAGGCCCCTCCGTTGACCGAAACTCGCCAAACAAGGTTGTGATTGGCTCTTATAGTAAGCAACCAGCAAAATACGACAAGAATGACAGCCAGTGTCGTACAGGGAATAAGTTGTTCTGTTTTTCGTTTCACTTGATGAAAATGTTATATGAAAGTTGTTTTGTTATGTAACCATAGTCCACGTGAATTTATACGGTTCAATAATTATGTATTGACCCTGTTCAGTATTTGATCCGTTCGTAAATGTAACTTGTCTGTCTCGCAGACACTAGAGACAAAAGTAAAAAAGGAGTCCAACTCAAGTCTATTAATTAAGGACTCCATTTGGATTTTTTAAAAACTTATATTTTGTAGATATATATTTCTAAACAAGATAACTTTATTCCTGAGAGTCAGTCATAAATGTGACCTCCGCGTTCGTTTGTACACCTCTGTTCTCAGTCTGTGTTGGCTATTTAAAGATTGTTTTATATATAACGTGAAACTGACCACACGGGGGTTGGGTACACATGGGTGTCGTCTGCCCTTGGTCACGTGTAACCTCACTGAACTAGGTCACTCCCTGAAAGGAAATCAGCCGTTACCACGAACACTGTACAATGTATAAACTAGACTGAAAACGATTCAGTCTGTGCTAGTCAAATGTGAACAAGCTGGGAGGAAACCGCTTTGTGTATGTGTACATTGTTGACAAGTATGTGTCACGTGACCGGGGTGTAAATGAGGCTGGTGAGATAAGCATCGGCATATTGATACGCCAATCAGCAGCCCGACCATCGCTCAGCAGAGATCCAGCGATCTGTAACTATCTGATAGTCTGCTGAACACTATTTTCAGAACAAGTTAAGTGAAAGGCGTGTTTGTTTATTTTTTGTGTTTAACGCTGCACGCAGCAATATTCTAGCTACATGACGGCGGTCTGTAAATAATCGAGTGTGGACCGGACAATCAAGAGATTGACTTCATGAGCATCGATCCACGCACATCAACCAAGTCAGCGAGCCTATGTAGCGTTAGTGACGTTTCAATGTTAAGTTAATAAATCAACAGTTAAACAGTGTTTTAATTTGTTTGTTTGTTGTTTAACGCCACACTCAGCAATATTCCAGCTATATGACGGCGGTCTGTAAAATATTCGTGTCTGGACCAGACAATCCAGTGATTAACATCATGAGCATCGATCCACGCAATCGGGATCGATGACATGCATCAACCAAGTCAGCGAGCCTGACCACCCGATCCCGTTAGTCGCCTTTTACGGCAAGAATGGGTTGCTGAAGACCTATTCTATCCCGAAATCTTCACGGGTTAAATAGTGTTTTAAGAAATACAAATTGTATCATTGACTCACTAAGGGGGGTCCCCTTATATATTTTTTATCTGTATTAGTACGTGTATTTCAGTTATGAAAATTACTTTTCTCACATGTTTTCATATATTTTGACTTTAATAACGGTACGTGTAGCTGTACATATTAAATATGTGTTATGTCTCTGTATTTAATCAGCGACATGACTGATATATTTACAGAATTAGCTAATTGGACATCCACGTTTGAATATTTCGATACTCCATAATACTCAGTGACAGCAAAACACAAGGTAAGAAGGTCGTTAATGTAGGTGATCATTTAGCATAAGATACTACAGAACGGTTATCAGTTATAGTATATACATTATTTAAAACGAACTCACATCTTGCGAATACTTGTAATGCAAAAAACGAGTTGACCGTAAGAGGTTCTGTGGGTATAGCGTTTCAGCGAAAGATTAATTTGGACAACCTGAAGCGTACATATAAGTTACCAGTTCTATAAAGTGTTATGTAAGGTGTTATTTTGAAGTAGCACGTGTACATCGCGAGATACGAACATTTCTAGATATATGCTAGCAAATTACTTTCTCTAATAAGAATTAGAACGTTCCTTCAAAAAGAGTGCGCTGCCTGAAATCTCGCGAGGTACACGTGATGCTGCAAATTAAACGTTTCAAAAGGTAAACTAACTCTGAAATTAAATGTTCAGGTGGATTATTTTTTAAAACTTCGTGCATTATAGTTATGAAATGTTATTTCAAATCAAATTATGCGAAGTCCCGTCGATCACAGACGGGGATTTTAGGACCGCTTCTAGTTATCTTCATCCTATGTGATGTGTCCGGTAGCCTTGGTCTAGCTGGCTCTAAAGACAGGACACAGGAGACGACTGGATGATGACGGTGGCTGCCTTACTGTGTGATGTCAGTAACTCTTCACAATACATGTACAACCAGTCAGTCCAGATTATCAAAACTTACATAACACTGTGAAAATGACAACTTGTATGCACGCTTCAATCACTCTTAAAGTTCACAAAGTAAATGCCAGAACCCTTTTTTCGTTTGTATTGACCATAGGACTTTCGAGTCCTGAGATGTGATTCGAACCACGGACCTTCTGATCCGAGGTCGGACGCCTTATCCACATGGCCAAAGAGTTTAACCCCCTTCTCGGGCCGCAAAGTAGGGTACTGAGGCTGCACCAATGTAGAGCAACCATAAGAATTCTGAGTCCCGTGATGGGATTCGAACCATTCACCTTCTGATCTGAGGTCGGACGCCTTGTCCACATGACCAAAGACGTTAACCCCGTCAGCAAGGTGACAAGTAAGGATGTCATCTGTGGGATGACTCCACACCCTGCTCAACGTTTTTTTCTGCGTCATAAGTATTCGCAAGATGTATATTCGTTTCTGAGGTACTTGATAATACTTGAAATACATCCTCTTAGTGAGGTAAGGTGTAATGTTGCGTAACGTAGCGTTCGTGATTATTGCACTTTTATAGCGACGTAACCGTGTGCGTGTTTACTTGTACCAGTCCGGTCTAATGCCGGTTTTTATAGTGCCAGCCGTGTAAGTGGACGATGTCCGTGTATCAGGAAGATGGAAAACAGACAGGGAAACTGGAGTGCGCGTTGAACAATAACATATTCAAGATTCGAAATAACTTTGTTTTCTTTGGAAAACAAATTGATCGAAACGAGAAGTACATAACAATCCTTCTTGTGGAATAAATAATAAAAACCGACGAATGTGTTTATGTTTGTTGCTTAACGCTGCACTCAACAATATTCCAACTGTATGAAGCTAGTCTGTAAATAATCGAGGCAGGACCAGACAATTCAGTGGTTTACGGCCTGAGCATCGCTCTACACAACCGGTAAGCGATAAAATGCACCAACCAAGTTGAACCGGACCACGCGATCCCGTTAATCGCATCTGACGACAAGCATGGGTTGCTGAAGGCCAATTCTAACCCGGATCTGCACAGGGGCGACGACTATGTGGTATGGCCATTTCGGTAGCCTTGTGGTAAAAGGTGAGCTTGGCTTACATTCGGGTTCGATTCCCAGAGATATAATTGGAATATGCTAAAAGCGGCTTAACACGTACCTCATTTATTCGCAACCAACAAGTATTAACGGTATTATTGTGTATTTCTTTTTAGTATCTGAGAAAAGAAATGTGTAAAGGTTGGCAGTAAAATCAGACATCTTTCCTTAATATATGAAGAGGCTTGTTCATGTTTGTAACTACTTAGTGTACTTTTTTTCCTAATACCCGTGGAGATCTGGAGCAGAATAGGTCTTCAGCAACCCATGTTTGCCGTAAATGGCGACTATGCTTGTCGTAAGAGTCGACTAACGGATCGGGCTTTCGGCCTCGTCTACGAGTTTTTTGCGAGTTTGTGTATTCTTATTATTAGTTACATGGTCTTGTGATTTCATCACATCAAAATTGCGTACATCGAGGCTCATTATGTCAATCACTGGATTGTCCGGCCCAGACTCGATTATTTACAAACCGCCGTCATATATGTGGACTATTGCTGAGTGCGGCGTAAAACAATAAACAGCAACAACTTACTTCTTTAATAAGTGAACATAGTAGTTACAACCCTAAACTGGCCTCTTCACTGAACATGCAAGGGAGATAGCCACTCCCATAGCATGTCTTAGTGAAATAATGTTCACGTGTCACCAAAGGAATTAAGGTTCGATTCTCCGTGTCGTTATATTGTCTCAACCCAATTTTTCAGTTCGACGTAAGTTTTCTCTTATAAAAAAGGTCTCTAATGATTGACATAGCGTGTAATTTAATCAACTGAAATTAGGATATAAAGTTATATTTACCGGAATTTTGTAATTATAATATTTCCAGGACAGAAGGAGGAGATGATGGCGCCAGTAGCCACGCTGGTTGTGCCTGGGGCGGGTCCCAACTGTGAGAGCGACTTCGCCGTCTCTAGGAATTGGAATCAAGTGAAGAGTATATTCAACCGCTTTTCATGAAAATCTACACAAAACGTTCGACTGTTTTGCAATTGACAGTATCTGGGCACCCAAAGGGAGGGAACTGATGTAAGATTTAGAAAAAAACGATCTGCAAGAGTGAGTGAGTGAGTTGGGTTTAACGCCGCTTTTAACAGTATTCCAGTTATATCACGGCGTGTCAGCTTAATGTGGGAGGAAAGCCCGAAGTGATGCAGGTATCAGACGTTTACCACTTCGGTGAAACCCACGAGCACGGGTATGGTGCTGACAAACCTAGAAACATAATTGGGGCGAACCGGGATTCGAACCCACAATCATAGGTTTCTGGCGTGCCCAAGGGACGCAACTCTGCACAGCGAATCGCGGCGCCTTAGACGACTGGGCCACCCGTGCCCCCCGTGCCCCCCGATCTGCAAGAAAAGTTTGTGAAGGAATACCCCTTCACTGCTGGTTACGACGTGCCTTTAAACTCCCGAACCGTCGCAATTATGTGTGGTTCAAGATTCAAGACTGGATACGTCTGTGTGGACGTTACAATCCCCATTGACGCCGGAGCCACGACGACAATGTCAGCCAAACACTGATGAGAGAGGGGGAGACATGTCAATCAGGTCACGGTTGTCATATCAGTGAAGAATGCACGAAAGAGCATGTCAAAACTGAATATTGCAAAGCCTTATGAACAATTCCTTTTCCGCCAATTTGAACATTATTTAAGTTATATTGCGCTAATTTAGGACCACTGTCGTAGAAGATTTACACTTTGGTGAAGCAACACGAACGGGTATGGTGCTGACAAACCAAGCATCATGATCGCAGCAAGTCTGGGATTCGAACCAAGAAGAAAGGGGATGAAATTAGTCAGCATCTTGTTTAAATGATATCTTAGAAGCTGAGGACCTATCAGTGATGCTATACAATGTTTTTTTAATGCATACGTTTATGGTCAATTTGTTTTATGTTGTTTTTTCATTGGTTACGAGAAATGGAATGAATATGATAGCGCCGTGGCTGCCAATTTGATATCGTCATCACCATTCACACGCCCATCAATCGTTCATCAGCAAGAAATGTCATTTACATCAGGAATGTGAAATAAACAATAAAATATGAAACGTTTTATTTCTGTTTTTGACCTTCACACACACGCACGTACGCACGCACGCACGCACGCGCACACACACTATTTAAACCGAATCCATTTTTGATATTCACCAAACCACTGATATGTCCTTTTGTGTATAGGACCTCTGCACAATTGAAAATGTCATGTGTATGTGTTCCTCTTTAGGTCATGTATAGCAGCTATGTAGTTGTCTTGTATGTAATATTTTAGGATGAAGGTTAAAGAACCAATGAAGTCAAGCTGCATTTTCAACATCCGAAACCATATGGCTTATTGAGCTAACGCTCCAAGCATGTTAGTGCCCTTTTCCACTGCTCCCAGACCGCCTCCGTGATCTAGTGGTAGAGCAGGAAAGCGGAAGATTTGGGGTTCGATCCCCTGCCGCGTCATACCAAAATACATAAATAGATGGAATTTGTTGTTACCCTGCCTGGCGCTCGGCATCAATGGGACAAAACAAGGACTGGAGTCAGTCTAAAGTGTTTGAGTGGGGAATGTTAAACTGCGGCATGGTATCTCAGTGGGCTAGCACTTCAAAAACCGGCATTAGTCCTGCCTAGTACCATCAGCCACACGCACGACATCATAAACTTTGATTGATAAACAGAATAGTGTTTGAATGACGAATCAAATTTTTGACACTGCCATTATACCTGATCAAAGAACAATTAGAACTATTCTTTTCCCAATTCACTCCAACCCTAGCCATAAAGATTGGAAAACTTAACACTATTTCACAAGATATACAAAATAGACAAAGTTAATAATCAACTCAACATTTTATTATAAACTTTATCAAATCTCAGCAGTAACAGTGACGTCACAACGCGTGGAAACACAATATATGTGCAAATGATGCCACCTTTATACAGGACAATGTACAAATAATGGTACTGTGCTGACATATGTACACTCTACTGTCAAACAATCAGTAACAGACCAAGAACCAAGTAACAAGACACAATGCTATATAACGGTACACAGGCTTGCCATTCAGTAACATCCACTCATCGCTCCCTCTTGTCATGCGGTCTCTTCACCGATATGAACTTCCGCGGGCAAGTAAATGTTTTGGCTCAAATATAGAAGCTTACCTAAGTTGCTTTTAGAACAAGTGCAACACGGCTCTTGGATGGTACACAGTGCACGCTTAATGGGTTTGATACTAACAGAACATAACGTAAGCATTTATAAGAGCAGGTTTAGGATCCTGAGATGGCAAAGATGTTGATTATAATTGGATAATGTTAAAGCACGTGATCAAATGTCATGTGACGTGATGCACCAATCACGAAACGGGGGCTTTACATTGATCAGGGACAACAGGTGCACGTTGCTGACCTAGAACATGCAATGTACATCATTATATACTATTCAACTTTTGATAGGGATATGTTTTTATTGTTATTTCTTGATTCCCACACATTACGTCATTACTTATTACGTGTAGATTTGATAATAAGAAGTATCTCCGTATCTTTATCAAAAGTTGTGTAGTATAATACAGAAGACCCCGTTGATCCGGATGGCACCGTTCTCATCGATATAATCCAGCTTAACACAATGTCCGGATTAATGAATCCGGGGTAGGAAGAAATGTTCCTGTGTGTGTACAAATGTCGGCGTTCCCCACGCCGTCCGGAGGGCGGGGTTATCGGATTAACGGGGTTTTGCTGTATTACTAGGTAGACATATTGGACTATCAGTACAAAGAACGGCACTTCACTAAATGAGTAATTCACAGGCTCAAGACAAGCGGCACTACCGTAGTTTATATGTTCCGCGAAGTAAAAAGCAGACTCAGAAATTGGGTCTAGGAATCGCCCTTTTAGATGAGATATACGTTTGCTTTAAAGGATGACGTTTGTAAAAGCGATGATTAGGCTTTTCAAAGATGTGATATACAACATTAGGTTTAGGACAAAAGCGATGTCTTAATTATATCGCTTGCATAAATGTAATTCCTTGAAACTATTTGTAAATATCATACAACTGCAAGGTAAATGTTTTCTACAAATAACGACCGAGGATTAATTATCGATAACTTAAGAACTCGAAAAACAATAAACGTTATTATATATTTCTCCATTTATGTATTTGAATTGTTCATGTGGGATCTTGTTATCGGTCTATCAAAGAGGTATATGAAACCTTGACCAAAATTGACCTTTGCCCGTTTCATACTCCCAAACTTTAATATACTGGGCATACTAACATTTACAATATACATGTATAGTATATTACATGCCGTATACAGTAAATCAATGTATTATACAGTATGTCAATGTAGTATATCATATGCAATATACAGTACATCACATGCAATATACAGTACATCACATCTATATATACAGTACATCACATGCAATATACAGTTCATCACATGCAATATACAGTACATCACATGCAATATACAGTACATCACATGCAATATACAGTACATCACATGCAATATACAGTACATCACATGCAATATACAGTACATCACATGCAATATACATGCAATATACAGTACATCACATGCAATATACAGTACAACACATGCAATATACAGTACATCACATGCAATATACAGTTCATCACATGCAATATACAGTACATCCCATTCAGTATACTGTGTGTCGCTTATTAAAACTACCCCCAGGAAACAGATTTGTCCAAAGGTGAAATGTGTTCCGAGTCGGAATGACCTGTATAGAGTCGCGGTGTTGTGTACAATGAAGGATCGGGACATGTGGATTTAGTGTGTCTGGGTGTGGAGATACAATACGCATGTGACACGACTAGGCTATATGAGATGACAACAATGTCTGTCTAGCTATTTGACACACCACAGTGTTGAAGTTGGCGTGGCTGTAATCCCTCGTGGGGAATATAGGGCAAATGAATCACCTGTTTAACTGTTGTGGGTTTGGGGTTGTGATGAGGTTGGAGTAGGTATTGGGGTTGTGAGGTGGTGTTGGGGGTTCGTGCACGTGATTGGGGAAGTGAATACTACCGTTAGTGTAAATCATTGAACATCACTATTGTACAATACGGCACCATCATAAATAAAGAACTCCTCGGTGTGTTGCGATTTAGAATAAATGAAATTGTTTACAAATATCAGGCTGAAATAATTTGATATAATTAATAATCTTTGTGCAACTTATTGACAGATTCATCTGAACAAAAAACCGTCACAGCGATGCTTATTTTGATACAACCACCAAATACACTAAACCTAGATATAACCGATTTACAACTAGAATAAGCTTGAAATTAAAGCTTGATTTACCATGGGTTTAAAGGTACAATTATCTTGGATTTAAACCTAGAATAGGCTTGGATTTACAGGTAGAATAAGCTTGAATTTAAACCAAGAATAACCTTGGATTTAAACCTTGAATAAGCTTGGGTTTGAAGATACAATAATCTTGGATTTAAACCTAGAATAAGCGTGGATTTACAGGTAGAATAAGCTTGGATTTAAACCGAGAATAACCTTAGATGTACAGGTAGAATAAACTTGGAATAAAACTGAGAATAACCTTGGATTTAAACCTGGAATAAACTTGGATCTAAATCTAAAATAACCTTAGATTTAAACCTTGAATAACTTTGACTTAAACCTGGAATAATCTTGGATGTAGGATAATAATAGTTCCTTCAGTGATTCACTCACCAATAGTTTTTAGAATCCCTGTGTTATACCCTACATAACAAACGAGTGAGTGTGTTTGGTTTAACGCCTCTTTGAACAGTATTCAGTTATATCGCGGCGTGTCACCGTAACGTGAGAGAAAAGTGGTGCAGGCCTAAAATGTTTACCACGTGGAACACGAGCACGGGTACGTATTGACAAACGATGAAACATGATCTCGTCGCGACTGATGTGAGAAAAATAACGCGGAACATTTGTCACCAACAGCAATCGAGTTTGTTTCGGACAATAGATGAATACAAAAGGAAGGTAACGACCACTGGGGTGTTTGTTTTGAGGAGTAGTGTGGACCATCAATGAGGATGTACCAGGTTTCCATCGATGATGATAATGATAATACTGACAGTGGCTGTTGGTTTCTTATCTTATTATCTTCAGGAATACCTTAATCGAGACTGGTTAATTCTGGCGTTGAGGTTTTATACCATGCTTACAGATGGAACAATGCAATAACATGTTGAAACCGAAAATACAGGTGCTTGGACTGAGCAAAGTTTTTTTAATTCAAATGTATCACTTTCAGCCTCGGTCAAACCAAACACGAAGACCGGTCAAGTGATTCCATGCCGGACACGCACGTGACAATTGGTCAGTCTGGTGTGTATATGGTCAATTTAGTCAAATAGGGGGCCCTCTAGCTTTACGAACATAGGAACATATACACTTGAAAACGTTCCGTTTCTTTGTTGCGCTGCGATTCAATTTTACTTAAACACGATACATACTTACTAAACTGTGTGGAGAGTTATTCGCGTTAAAATGTGTATGTATGAAACTCATTCCCGTGTTATTTGCTGTTCCTTGTCTGAAATATTTCGAAAATACAAGGAGTGAAATATTATTAGCCGGGAATTAGGGTTCTTTAAAACAAACTAGAATTTTAAGATTTGAAAGAAATACTATTCTGAATATATAATACTTCATAAAGGTTCTAACGGCAATATTGAAACATATAGACTTAACAAACACGAAAACGTTTAGAAAATAGTCGATAATCATTAATGTAAATAAGAATGTGTTTTAAGAAATATATTACTGAAACGATGCTACTCAAAACAAGTTAAAGAACATCCTTCTTATAAAACTATAAAGAAATATTTAGCCATAATATAAAGGAAAGTAGTAAATCGTCTTATTCCAATCACAAAAAATAAACAGCTACAAAGTAACAATGTTGTTTTTTGTCCTGGAAATCAATAACACTCACAACTGTCTGACTGTCATGGCGGTTTGAAGTTTCCGCCCCAGACCCATGGCAAATGGTCCTTCCAATATTGATAAACGCTTTGCATGATAACCATTTTTGAGGCTTCCTAACGGAAGAAACGAACCATTGCAATACATTGTGCTCTATGTATACCACTCATACTATAGGGCAGATTAACTAAAAGAAATAGTCATATGAAAAAGAATCGGTGTTCTTGAGCTTCTTTTGAGGAGTATGTGTTTGGGAGAGCGTTTCGGTCAGTGGGAGTTCTGTATGGAGTTATATATCACAGCACCTTGTATACAGCCTGTTATCCACCTGTAAGTATTGTCAAATCATAGGACACTAGATGTAAGCCGTTTTCACTTTTCTTGCAGAAATAGATAATTATGAAATCACCATTTTGAATTCTTTGGAATTTAACGTACAAAGTCCCTTGTTGTTCCATACCGAGATGGTTTAAACACTCGTTCCAGCAACGAGATTAGTCGTAAGGCCATTGTGACAAATATATCGATGTGCCCGTACCCAATACAGAACTGGTTTGGAAGGTGGGTGGAAAAAATATATTTCAACTGATACCTTATATTAAAATATACAAAATGATGGGGTTCCATTTACAAAAAAATAGCTATCATAAACAAAAAATGAATGATTCATAAATAATATGTCATTTGTCACAGTTAATCAACCCATAGATGTTAATAACTTTCATTTGCTCAGTTGTCAACATCCTCTAGTTCCAGAACATGTTTAGTCAGGGACAGAGTTGATCCAGTATGGGCAAACAAACTATTTTTCTTATTTGGCCTTACACTGTACACACCAAAGGCTATACACTATTTTGGCCGAACACTGTACACACCAAGGGTTAAACACTACTTTGCCCGTACGCACCAAGGGCTGAACACTATTTTGGCCGAACACTGTACACACCAAGGGTTATACACTACTTTGCCCGTACGCACCAAGGGCTGAACACTATTTTGGCCGAACACTGTACGCACCAAGGGTTAAACACTACTTTGCCCGTACACACCAAGGGCTGAACACTATTTTGGCCGAACACTGTACACACCAAGGGCTGAACACTATTTTGGCCTAAATCAAAACACAACAACGTGGTTTAGTCAAATCATTTTCTTCCGATTTCATCGGGATAAAATATTTGTATCTAAGTTTAAGTGTCAATATGCACAAGAACAGCAAGGGAATAAGCCGTTTGACAGAATGATAAATATCTTAATAATAAACAAATAGAATGTATTTATATTTACACTGAACAATTAAGTGATGTACAGGGTATATTAATATAACAAGAACTGTATACACATAATCTACAAGAGTGATTATAATAATCTCAACCGCCATTGCATTACACAGTGATCGTAATTTACAATTATTAACAATAACATATAGCGCATGCTGTGCATATTATTCCTGGGTGTATTTACAACACTTCCTCTTTTGCCTATGTCAGTTTATAGTGCATATTATACAAACAAACAAACAAACAGCATCGCGCACATACAGTCTTTTTCAGGGCCGTCATGCAGGCAACTGGGGCCCGGATAGAGCATACAATCAGGGTTGATCTTGCTGTACATTATAGTAACACATATGTAGGTTGTTTTTAGTCCACATTTTTTAAATGAACGTAACATGACGTTATTATCACAACACAACACACATCTTTATCTTTTTGTTGTTTATATATTGATGTTAAAATTCCGTTCATCTTTAACCACAAAGTTATTATTTAAGTAGACATTGCCTCTTACATCCGAAATATTAGAAATCATGTTACGATTAAAATATACAAGAACTGATTTAAGCTCTCACTTCCTATAACTGTACATACTTATAAACATTGTAAGATATGGGATATGAAGCGTCACTGTACACTATTTCAACACGACAATCTGTACATTCCGTGGCAATATGAAACAGGCTGTTTAACATGCAGCAACATAGATGGGAGTTATCTCCCCTCATACCGGAACTATAATGTAGAGTTATGACGTCACCTTTGAAAATGAATTACACTAAGAAATAGTGAGTAAAATCGAACGTTCATCATGAAACAAAATGATGAAAACGTAAGGGTCCACTGAGATATAACATGGTGGGTTATATGAAAATCACACGACGTTGAACATTCAACACTAAGTAATCCTGAAACTACTCAAATCCATACAAAGTGTTCCATTATGAGCAAAAAGGCTTCTTCTGATTATGACCTCAACCCTCGTCGACCTTGACCTCAGAATCTCTGAAAGCCTCGATCTGGAGACAGACGTCACCACATGGCTGTCTCCTCATCTCGAAAGATGTTGAGGACTCAGAGCCATGACAGTGTAGACTTTTGTGACCTTCTGATGACCTTGACCTCAGGAACACTAATGAAGTCACACACCCATACATTGATAAATTTGGCACTTGCTGAAACTATGTCCATGATATTATTCTATCTAGTCCGCTTTCTAGTCGTATATCTACATCTAGCCCATAGATGGTATCTGTAAAAACAAAACGGTATTGTGAGATACAAATATCAGTCAACAGTCAATATTTCACGATGGTACAATGGAAAAAAGTATTTTGGCTGACACGTCGATATGAGCGAATGGGGGCTACGAATGGGCTACGAATACACACATGCTATGGGGTCAGCAACAGTTACCACAACCATGTTGTAGTATGACAGATTAGAGGTCGCTCTAAGATTGTGCATTCAATTCCGAAATCGAGGTTTCATTGTCATTATAGTGAAGTGTGATAAAACGTTGTAAAACCTTTTCAGAAATAATGAACCAATGTTACGGTCGCACCAGTAATTGGTTTTAAAATTACTTTTACACCCATGGGGAAAAAAGGTCAACAAGTGAGAAACATGTAACCTACTTGTACCTACCTATACACCCTCGTGAGAAACATGTACCTGACTTGTACCTACCTATACCCCCATGAGAAACATGTACCCGACTTGTACCTACCTATACACCCTTGAGAAACATGTACCCGACTTGTACCTACCTAGACACCCATGAGAAACATGTATCCGACTTGTACCTACCTCTACACCCATGAGAAACATGTATCCGATTTGTACCTACCTATACCCCCATGAGAAACATGTACCCGACTTGTACCTACCTATACCCCCGTGAGAAACATGTACCCGACTTGTACCTACCCGTACCCCTATGAGAAACATGTATCCGACTTGTACCTACCTATACACCCATGAGAAACTTGTATCCGACTTGTACCTACCTATACCCCCATGAGAAACATGTATCCGACTTGTATCTACCTATACACCCATGAGAAACATGTATCCGACTTGTATCTACATATACACCCGTGAGAAACATGTACCCGACTTGTACCTACCTATACACCCATGAGAAACATGTATCCGACTTGTACCTACCTCTACACCCGTGAGAAACATGTACCCGACTTGTACCTACCTATACACCCATGAGAAACATGTATCCGACTTGTACCTACCTATACACCCATGAGAAACATGCTACCCGTTCACTCTGCTGCTAGACGTCTAGTAAATATCTGAAATATAAAATAATGACACTTCATGGTGTGCAATAACATTACACGGGGACAAACCACACCAACAACTGTGTGCCTATTCTCCTGCCTGTCATGCACAAAAGTGCTTATCAGTTTCCAATGCTTCTACACCTTCTACTCGTATGCAATCATTACCATTTCAATAAATTATATAAAAAAATTGTAACAGATTTATTTGAATAATTTTAATCGATATCATCGATATTGTTTCAATATCACGAAACAAATTGATAAATATTATCATTATATGAGAGGCCACAGAACAGCCGCCCAGCGTCTGTTGGTTCAATTCATGATTTTATCCTGTACATTTGTTTGTTTATTGTTTAACGCCGCACTCAGCAATATTCAAGCTGTATGACGGCGATCTGTAAATAATCGAGTCTGGACCAGACAATCCAGTGATTGACATCCTGAGCATCGATCTACGCAATTGGGATACGATGACATGCATCAACCAAGTCAGTGAGCCTGACCAGCCGATCCCATTAGTTGCTTCTTACGACATGCACGGGTTGCTGAAACTGTAGTTATGTCATATGGAATTTGTGAAATATCCTTAATACATGTTCAAAATACTTCCGGTGTAATTACTTATTCATGCTCAGGAACTATTCGACATTTCGCAAAATAAAGTAAAAATATGAAAGCAGGCAGAGGTGGGCTTTCTTCCGCCATTGTCTGGCTGACTATCAGACAGCGACAACTTGAGGGAGTATGCTGACACCCATCGTCAATACTTCACGGGTTTGTATACACCACATTCCCTCATCATCCGTGAATGCATACATCCTCTCAATCTCATTACAATCCCACCTAAGTTCTCGCTGCCGCTAAACACAGATCCGAGGACATCCTATTACGGGTCACGTCAGAACGAACTTTCGCGAACTTTGACCGACCAGTGAAACGACTAACAAGAAGTCGACATCAGCCAATTAGAAAGCAGCTTTCTCGAGCTTCACGGCACTCGTTTCAACCTGGCGACTTCCATTTCAGACTATGCTTGGAAAAAATGGTGACACAGTTCTCGATTAAAATTTTGAAAACTGATCAAACGAACATTCCAGAATGTCTAATAATGGTTGCGATTGTATGGCAGTGCTTCCCACGTACTGTGCAACGCCTCCTCCGTTCAAATATTAATCCCACGGAAGCGAGAGACAGACGATAATTTTGACGGAATCAGTCGTACGGGCCGTAACTGTCGTTCGGAATACCCCGTGTTAACGTTTTCGAGGTTGCATGATTTGAAAACACATGACTGTCACTTTGGTCGGATGAAAGGTCGTTCTGACGTGACCCGTAATGGGATGTCCTCAGATCTTTGTTTGGTGATAGCGAGAACTAAGATCTGATTTTAATGAGATTGACATCCCCTTTGCCGTGTTGTCGCTATTTTTATCCAATGAGCCACGGGCTGGTTCCAAGGGGAAACCAGCGATTGCTCTGACCAATGAGAGCTCAGTTTACATCGGCTGTTTTCTCGTGCAACACGTGCCCATCATTGCAGTCATCAGCTCTACACACTCCTTTAATATCAGGTAACGGTAGGGTTCGCACAGAGATCATGCACGGAGTAGGGTTTATTTGACTTCCGTGAGTTAGACTCGGCCTCGTCTTGAAATAGACCCGCATCACTATTACACCCCATGTATTGCGGTCGTATGTGTTCACGGGTGATGGAGGGAACGTATACAAACCTGTGAAGCATGGAGGAGAGATTATGCATTGTTTGCCTATTTTAAAAACAACATATGTTAATCAATGATGTTTCCTTACAAGCTACTGTCTTTTAATAAATTATACAATAATGGAATAAATTATCATATAATTCTTGCGATACTGATTTTTATTTCAGGGTAAAATTTAATACACATGTTATTCTACCACGGACACATATTTTTATAAGCAGTAATTGAACGTCTATAGTGAGCAAATTTGTAAAAAAATATTTTTTTATTGTCATATAACTTTTGTATACTATGGTATTATTTACAATGAATATAACAAATCTCATTCTCATTCGTGCTCTCTCGTGTCATTCCGGTTGACGAACCGAGTGGTTACGGAAGGAGGCGAGTGGTGTAGAATGCTCTACGGTAAGACTCCCACTCTTTTAAACTGTTCTAGCCCACCTCATCCACGACACATTTGACATGCTATATTGCTGTGTATTTTGATAGCGTGAAGGATACACACGATGCAAGGATGAGAGTATATACATGTGAACATGCCGAGGTAGAGGACTAATACATGCTATAAGGCCACGACAAATTCAGTATTTGTCACTGTATACCATCCATCGTTTGTATACTTGAACAGATACCGAAGATATCGTAAATGAGGAACAAATATTTAATTTGACGTGGCCTAACCTAACGGTACTTGGTACAGGGTCGATGTAGTGAATATAGCTTATCACAATGCGCATCTAGAATGTAAAGTCGCGGTGCGATACATAGTATTTCTCATAAAACACGACACATGTATGGAATCCTGGTAAGGACATTGTCACCTTGCGGCACTTACAAAACAAAAAAGTATTACAACACGACATGGTGTGGTCGTATTGTCTTGCTTTGGTTAAATTGGCATTTTGCATTTTGCGCAATCGTACTAATCACTGCTTTTAGCAGATATTTCTTATGATCACGAAAAGGGTTTTGTCGCTTTTTTTTCTTGTTTTCAGGGGCCACAATGTTCTTTATGGATTTTAATAGAAACGAGCATTTAACAATTAACTTTCACAGCATAAAGCCTAATATACTTAACATATCTACTGAACAAAAGCGTAAGGGATCACGGATAGTTTTTTGTAGTGAAGACTAAGCACACAATTTCATAAAAAATATCCCCCAAAATAGTAATGGTCCCTAATGGTGTTGTCTCGATATAATAACTTGTGTTGCTATCATCGCATCATGAAGTATCTCGACGCTAGAGCAATGTAGTGGATCGTTACAGCTGTTAACTCGAACTCGACAAATTCTTCAAGAATATATAACGATATAGCACGGTCCTGGTAGATAATAGTGAGGTCGGCGGCTTTTAATAAATTTAGTATTTCAGCTTTTAATAGTATTTCAGCGAACGCCCTAAGTGATGCAGGTCTTAGACGTTTACCACATTACTAAAACCCAGTACTGAAACCTAGAAACATAATAAGGGTTAATCTAGGAATCGAACCTACAATTTTATCTATAATAAAGTCTACACTACGGATATCTCGGTGTCTTTTCGATGGCACCTACTTCGAGTTAACGAGGGTCTACTTTAGACCATGAATTATTACTGTCGGGGAATCGGTGCCTTCTCCCTATCGAACGTGTGTAATTATGACAAGTGAATAAACAGTCCATCAAAATGATGAAGGCGCTTTGAAAGGAAACAGCATTTCTTTACATTATTTAGGATTTCGGTTTCAGTAATTGTGAGCAGAGAGCGAGTTATGCAGTTTAAAAGAGCCGCATGTCTTAATAATGGACGCGTTGTTCATCAAGACGTCGAGTCAATGCCGGAGAGTCCGCAATCACGCACAAACTGGCGGTAATCAGTCTCTCCAAAAAACTATGTTTCCTAGAAACCAAAAGGTTTGTCAGAGATTGGTGAAGATTCTGGGAGCTCTCTTAACAAATCATTTCAATAATACATTGCTGTACACAAATGGCGCTAACTGGGACATTAAGTTTCGCAGAACCGATGTTTAATTTTACCATTCTCTGCCAAGCCGAAATCTATACCGTAGTATATTTTGTATTATTATATTTAAATTGAACAGCAAAGTAATTCTTTTCATATAATTGGCTGCACATCGTACTTTTTCGCAGAAGATTATAGCCAGGGATGTTTGGAGAGGACCATGAGCATATCTTTTGATAAGATTGAAACACGCTATATAAAGAAACAGTATGCAGGTATGCAAGTTAAGATCCAGAGAACAGACATTGTAATCAATTTCAAACTTCTCCCTTTTGAGAAGCACTTTTGCAGCACGCAAGTTCGGCTGCGATCCTAATCTTGGCCTTATGGCGTCTGATATCAAACTACCGGGCACAATGTACACACCAAATTTTAATGGTGGCTAAAAATGAAAGAAACATGAAATGTTTTTCGCTTGTGATGTTGTTTGTTTGTTGTTTAACGCCGCACTCAGCGATATTCCAACTACATGACGGAGGTCTGTAAATAATTGAGTCTGGACAAGACAATCCAGTGATTGACATCATGAGCATCGATCCACTCGCTTGTGATGTATGTGAAACGGTTATTATTGTTATGTTTTTTTAGCTGAGGTCTGCAATGATTCAGCGACTGTTTTCAGCTTAGTAACGTTTTGATAACGTTTGTAACTCTTGGTCAAATCCAAATTTAAAGGGTATACTTTCTTTTGCCAGGCAGTATATTTTAAATGATTGGTTCATGGACCCGCGCAACCCCAATTAAAATTTGTTGTTGAATAGAAATATTTGTTTTCCTTTTTAGCTTCTTACCGACTGTAACCTGATAAAGGTAATGGCAAAACATCAAAGCAGTACAATACAGGAAGGCGGGTAACCATTGATTTACTGTTACCCAAAACATTTCTTTCCTAAGGTTCCTTAAAAAACTTACGCTTCTGTTTACAAACAATCCGTTGGCCAAATAATTATTTAAAAAAAACATGAAAACAAGCCTATAATTAACTATGTGTGGTATGAAATTACGGTCAGGTTGTATGTACCATCTATGCGTTAATATCTCCTTAATGTTACACTTCACCTTCTGTCGTGGGCTGTGGTGTACATATTACAGTCAATTTTAAAATTTACAATTAACATGCGACCTGTTTCATTTTTTTATGATATTGTTTTAATGAGAACAAAGATACACTTGACAATACATTCATACTTCAGAGGTATACACATATGAGAAACAAATAACTGTTGATACATAAATGACAAGGGCACGTTATATGTGTGCATATGTCAGTGTGAAGCGGACACAGAAACAGTAGGTCTAGATCTAGGAGTCATTCCCCACAAAGCAAAGCCATGCTTAGGAATGCCTTCTTACCAACAACTCAAGTTTCACAAGTATTTATTTAGTCAATCTTAGCGGGTATACTTTCAATTTCCACGTAAACAGGACTTGTTGATTCCTCACTGCAACACGTGCGAAGACTGTATTAAATACAAATTTATTCAAAAAGGAAATTATTTCAGAAAATACCTTTGTGCTATTATTCTTTCAAATGTATAAGTCAAAATTCAAATGTCTTAATCGATCCTGTCGATTGAGTTATATGATGAGCAATGAATGATGTGGGCATTGCAGAAATCTACCTCATCTGCATATTGGACATTTAAATAAAAGATGCCATAAATCTATTGACAAGACACGTTGTAGATAACTTACCGGAAGAGGATAAAAAGACGAAGGGACCGGTCATTTAACAGAATCGTTCATTGAAAGAAATCCCCCTCCCCACAATGATAAATGACTGGTCCCTTACGAAGCCAGCTTATGGTGGCATTGCGTGGAGGTGAGAGGTGGCAAACTTCAATGTCAAGATATATAATGTGTATTGCAACACTTCAGATTCCAATCACACAAAATATGTTTCCATCATTCGTCTCGTATCGTCTCTATCCCTATGGTTATCTTTTGCCAGCACTGACTGGAAGCCATATTGAGAAAAAAAACGTGTAACCCGGATGTCCGTTTAGAAAGTGTTACTGTTTGCTCCAAATCAAAGTGCACACGTGATAAGTAAAGAACAGCATAGTTTAGTTTACAAATGGTTTATGCGGTGGATCTGGGGTAACACTGAAAACATTGAAATGCTGTGATATCCCTACTGTAGTGTCGCTATTTGTTCATGCTGACGCATACCGCTGTTTCAGTGTGGGCCGACCTTGTTTGTTTGTTGTTTAACGCCGCGCACAGCATTGTTGCAGCTACATGACGACAGTCTGTGAATAATCGAGACCAGACAATCCAGTGATTGACATCATGAGCATCGAACTACGCAATTGGGATACGATGACATGCATCAACCAAGTCAGTGAGTCTCACCACCCGATCCCCTAGTCATCCAAGGTTTTCAAGTTTGTCGACAAATTCTCGTCCAGGTCTAGACATTGTAATTGATAAAATGTGTAAAACTTGGAAGCATCTGTGTAATAAAACTGATCATTATCCACAGAAGAACCGTGATATATCCACAGAAGAACCGTTTGAACAACTTGAAACCCGGGAATATCGCACTTCAGGGAAAAAACATTTAAATGGAAACATACGTTGTGCAACTGACTCCGTAGTGTTATCAAACGATAATACGTGTTTTTGTAAGACGCTAAAAATAACATGCCAAAATCGGGTTTACTTGTCATGTGTTTCTTACCTACACTGATTGTTTGGTTAACTATTTGTTGATGATATGAAAATGATTGAGGCAAACTTACCACCTATGTGGAACACCTGAAAATACATAAACACAATTTAGTCAAAAGACTTGCATGTGGACTCCCCGTTTGGAAAGACAATCGGCATTTGCTCGAAGCGTCCGACAAATCCTCAACGATGACTCAACCACACAAACATACATATTTATCCATAACTACATTCGTTAAGATGTGTTTCAAAAATCTGAATATAATGCTCAGACGAATATGACGAAAATTACTAATTCGGCGATAAACAATAAACACTCACTCACTCACTCATACCAAAGTTCACCTTCCTGTCATTCAGGTATACGCACGTCAGGAAAGACCGACATGATAATACCTCCAAATAACAACATATTCCTCTTGGCGCATGCGTAGATAGATGAAATAAATAAATCGTTTCTTACGTTTACCATTTGAGCGGTTGTTCGGAGATTTCGAGTCACGTGAACGTCGTTTAGGAACCGGAGATGACGTAGCGGAAGCAGCCTTGCGATGATGTCTTGGTGACGGCGCTGTGGACAAGGCATATGTTAGATACTTTGGACTGATATCAAATCCTTAAAGGTTTTTTCACGGACATGAACTGGAGCAATAACATCAACTGGTTTGGATATAAATAGAAAATGATAACATTTCAGTAATTGATATAAACCTTTGACCTAAGTTTGTTTGTTTGTTGTTTAACGCCGTACTCAGCAATATTCCAGCTATATGACAGCGGTCTGTAAATAATCGAGTCTGGACCAAACAATCCAGTGATTGACATCATGAACTTGTCAGCGATCCTGACCACCCGAACCCGTTAGTCGCCTCTTACGACAAGCAGAGTCGCCTTTTACGGCAAGCATGGGTTGCCTAAGACCGATTCTACCCCGCATCTTCACGGGTCCTTTGACCGGAGTAAAAGGGTTTTATGAAGTACAAACATCAAGTTATTTCCGCTCACAGTATGGCTAAAATGTTGCCGACGTGGCTTCAAGATTTAATTCTTTTACTAACAAGTCATTCTATCACACACTGAACTATGATCTCTCACCTTGACTTTCTTGTGGGTCATCATTAAGTGTCCCCAGGGATCTCCTCCTGGGTCCCATCTGCGAGTCGGATCCATGGTGATCGCCGGATCCGTGTTTCTACAACAACAATAAATATGTCTATCAGAAGGACAGGACATGATTCGGCTTTTCGCGGACACCTGGTGTCATCACTAATTTTCAGTGACCTATTTATAAATTCACCGTCATGTACCCCTTTTCATCCAATGGAATCTGTTTCGTTGGAAAATGGAGACTGGTTATTCTCTAGCATTGATCTTACATATACAGTTACGTTGTATACTTTGTCAGAACCAAACCCCAACTAAGAAGGTCTATTTCTGAAGAAGTATTTTCATTAAATACATTGGAAACTCGTCAAGCCTGGACAGTTATTTGTTAATGAGACGTGGGTTTGGACCATATTCTTTACTGGTCAATAGTTATTTAGTAACCATTTTCAGATGTGACCTGGTTTCGCTTTAATGAAACGAACCGAATGTTTGCTATAAATCCACAAATCATAAGTGTGGCCTTGTTATAACCTAGCCCTCAGACTAGAGACAATACCAGAGGCGTTGGGGAGAGACTTTTATTTTCGCCAGCCACATGGCCGGTCAACATGTCATAGCCGAGTGACAGCACGTGCGGACTACCTTCACAGGCACGTGGGGTATTCATACGCGTTACTCTCACAGTACATAGTTCTAGGGTACATCGGGTAATATAATACTTATCAAGATATTACAGGCCTCATGTCACCATCAAGTCGTTTACGTTATAGAAAGAGTCACCCGTGGGAATTCTGGGTAAGAATGTAAGTCCCTAGCAACCTATGCTCGTCGTAAGTGGCGACTAAATGGATCGGGTGGTCAGGCTCGGCGAGGTTCGTATCCTAAATGTGTGGATCGATGCTCATGACATCAATCACTGGATTGTCTGACCGAGACTTGATTATTGACAGACAGACCGCTGTCATATAGCTGGAATACTGCTGGGTGCGGCGTTCAACAACAAACAAGCAAACAAACAAACAAACAAGTCTTACCTTTGAGCGTCCGTTGCTTCTCTTGCTGGGTTTTGACAGTTCTTGTGGTGGTTCCTGTGGTTCTATGGCATCAATGGAATGGTAGGGAGGAGGGACACTCGATTTGGGCAGCTCAAAACTGGCACAAGCCACGTGATCTCTTAGAGGGTACCAGTGTGGTTTGTTGTCAAGGAAACCCTCCTCTGTGGAACAAAGGACAACAGTTTAGTATGTACTTAGACGAATACACTTACTCTGAACATACCATTTCCGTTTTAGAAAGGTCTTAGCAATCAGACACCTACTTTCTGTTGATGCAACACATGTGCTTGTCAGAAGCCTTGTGCTCACTAGACTCGACAACTACAATAGTTTTTATTGTAACAGTTAAGCAGTTAAGCACTGGCTCCCAGCAGCAGCTTGAGTTCAGTACAAGACCCTAACCTTAACATACTGGGGTGGAATAGGTCTTCAGCAACCCATGCTTGCCGTAAAAGGCGACTTTGCTTGTCGAAAGAGGCGACTAACGGGCTCGGGTGGTCAGGCTCGCTGACTTGGTTGATGCATGTCATCGATACCAATTGCGTGGATCGATGCTCATGATATCAATCACTGGATTGCCTGGTCCAGACTCGATTATTTACAGACCGCCGTCATATAGCTGGAATATTGCTGAGTGCGGCGTTAAACAACAAACCAACCAACCAACATACCACTGCTACAACCAGTCACCACCTTCTTACTGATCTGACCTTAACCAGGAACTTCATCCACCTATATCCATCCGTTCTGCTGAGAAACCTATTTGGGCAGAGGTCTTTTGTCCGTAAAGCTGCAGTTCTATGGAAGCATCTCTCTTCACATGTGAAGGATGCAGAAACTCGGACAATCTTCCAGTCCTGTCTCAAGATATTCCTGTTCAGACTCTTTTATTCAGTTTCAGATCATCACCAACTGCCACATCTATTTGTTTTGTTTTGGTGTCCTGAAATAATTGGGTCCTAAACAACTGTTCGCCTCTTTCCGAGAAAAGAAGTTACATGTCTTGGAGAAGTGACAGACAATGTATTATGTCTCAAACAGAAACGTTTGTTGTTATGTGTCCACTCCATCAGTGTCATGTCTCCAACCTTTCACTTCGTCAAGCAGTCCCGTGAAAATCCAGGGTAGAAAAGGTCTTCAGCAACCCATGCTTGCCGCAAAAGGCGACTATGCTTGTCGTAAGAGGCGACTAACGGGATCGGGTGGTCAGGCTCGCTGACTTGGTTCATGCAAGTCATCGTACCCCAATTGCGTAGATCGATGCTCATGATGTCCATCACTGGATTGTCTGGTTCAGACTCGATTATTTACAGACCGCAGTCATATAGCTGGAATATTGCTGAGTGCGGCGTTAAACAACAAACAAACCAAACTTCGTCAAGCTGCTGAGGACATGGCCATCTTCTTCACTAATTATACGTTGGTAACATCGTGGTCTAACATACAATTCGCTCTGCAGTGTAGCGTCCCTTTGGAACACCAGAAAGTTATGGTTGTGGGCTCGACCCGAGTATGTTTCTAGGTTTGTCAGCAGCATACCCTTGCTGGTGGGCTTCACCAAAGCGGAAGACGTTTGGGATCGGCATCCATTCAGGCTTTCCTGCCATATTAAGTTGAACAAAAATGTTCAAAGCGGCGTTGAACTCAATTCACTCACTCACTAACACATGTGAAATGAAAAGCCTAAGACGTATTTGAACTCATATCTCGCTGTTGAACAGTGCCTCTTTTCTTCATCAAACAGCCAACAACACATCGACATTCTGTTACAATTACTACCCACACCGTGAAATTCACTCACTCTCTAACACTTACGAAATGAAAAGCCTCAGACGTATTTGAACTCATATCTCGCTGTTGAACAGTGCCTCTTTTCTTCATCAAACAGCCAACAACACATTGACATTCTGTTACAATTACTACCCACACCGTGAAATTCACTCACTCTCTAACACTTACGAAATGAAAAGCCTCAGACGTATTTGAACTCATCTGGCTGTTGAACAGTGCCTCTTTTCTTCATCAAACAGCCAACAACACATTGACATTCTGTTACAATACTACCCACACCGTGAAACTACACTGACCTGACAGCTCCAGGATGAGTTCCCCAAGGAAGTCATTGGTCTTGAACCTGTCGTAGTCCCACAGCGTGATCTCAAGCACCTTGTTCAGCAGCTCCCCCTTGGCCACGTTCTGGAACATCAACGTCTGGTGCCACTCCGGGTTCAACGTCCGCGAGATGTGACGGGTACGACGCTTGTTCTCTTGGCTGGAACATGAAACAGGTTTTTCAACTGCCGAAGTGCGATGTACCATGTGACTGTCCCATTATACCGCGGACTGCAGGGCAACGTTTTTAGTTGTTTCGCTTCGTAGTAAAAAGCCTTAGGTCTCAGCACCGTTGATGTCAGGACAAGAAGTAACGTGGCAGCGGCGGGAGAGAAAACTTATGCTTCCTTCAATCATACTTAATGCTTTCTTTACTGAGATTTGCATTTTACTTTTGCATGTTATGCTTCCCCAACCAAGACGCATTATGCTTCCAACTACTTAGACGCGTTCTGCTTCCTCTACTGAGATATATTATGCTTCCACAACTGAGACGTGTTATGCTTCCACTACTTAGACTTTTATGCTGCCTCTCCAGAGACATGTTATGCATCTTCTAATGAGACGTGTTATGCTCCCACTACTGCTGCGCGTTATGCTTCCTCTACTAAGACGTTATGCTTCCACTACCGAGATACACTATGCTTCCACCACTGAAACGTGTTATGCTTCCACTACTGAGATATATTATGCTTCCACTACTGCTGCGCGTTATGCTTCCACTACTGAGATATATAATGCTTCCACTACTAAGACGTGTTATGCTTCCTCTACTGAGATATATTATGCTTCCACTACTGCTGCGCGTTATGCTTCCACTACTGAGATATAGTATGCTTCGTCTACTAAGACGTGTTATGCTTCCACTACTGAGATATATTATGCTTCGTCTACTAAGACGTGTTATGCTTCCACTACTGCTGCGCGTTATGCTTCCACTACTGATATATATTATGCTTCCACTACTAAGTCGTGTTATGCTTCCACAACTGAGTCATGTTGTGGCGACCGCCTCCGTGGTCTTGTGGTAGAGCGTCCGCCCGGAGAGCGGAAGGTCCAGGGTTCGATCCCGGGCCGCGTCATACAAAAAGACGTTAAAAGATTGTACTTGTTGTTACCCTGTATGGCGCTCGGCATTAAGGGGCTAAAACAAGGACTGGTCGGCTCGGAGTCAGTATACTGTGTCTGAGTGGGGTATTCAAGTTAAACTGCGGCATGGTATCTCAGTTAGCTAGCACTATAAATCGGCATCAGTCCGGACTAGTACAAGCAGCCACACACACACATACACGTGCATGCACGTCGCTATATAAGTGCAATAATCTTGGACGCGACGTTAAACCCAATTTCACCTCACCTCATGTTGTGGCTCTTGTACCGATACGTGTGATGCTCCCCTATTGCGATATGTGTTGTGCTTTCCCTTCCGATACTATTGCAACAGTTACATTTCCCCAAAAGAGTCCTTGTACCCACGAGATTGATAAGAATGATAAATACATTAACTTTAATATAAATAGCTAAATGGCACCCTGGAGGAAGCATACTTTACTGGACACATGACGAACAAGAATACGTGGGTATTTGAGGAAGCCTTATTTCGTTTGAGTAATGAGTCCCGTGGCAAATATGACCAGGAAGATGAATGATGATTAAAACGTATATCCTTAAATAATTGTGATGTACATAAACGTGGGCATAGAATGCTTCAGAATCGATAATTTCCAACATATATCCTTAAAGAGAGGATTCTTGACGTTGATATCTCATCCCATTTTGATGACAATAAATGGACAGTAATGTTATTTGCGTTGGTATTGCTTCTACCAATGTGCCAAGCGAATAATATTACACATTGCCATCAAGGGACAAGCACTAAATATTATTGATTTTTGGGAATGCCACACAACTGAAGCTTCAGCCAAGGCCATGATGAGAAAACTGAACCGGAGACCTTACCCGCGACCAGGGAGAAGGTAGACTTTGACGAATGGATCTGATAGGCCGTTGATGTCACGTGGTCTGAGATTGCGGGACTGGATCACGTGCACGTTGAGCGTGTTGTCGAAGTCATCTTGACTTATTTGTAGCTAGTAGAGAAAAAACCCGCCTTAATTACACTTCAAAACAACTTGAATCTAAAAACATGTTAAATGAGAAAATTAAATTCACACTTAGTACATGTGAAATTGTGATGTATTTTTCGGACACGTTACAAAAAAGGTCGCTTTAAAGGTATTATACATTAAACACTCTCATTTCTCCGTGGACAAATATGTTCTATAGTAAAAAGGTTAATTACTCATCAGAATGTATTAGAAATATTTGTTTCAATGCTTTCAAATCCCAGAATGCAGATGTTTGTTTGTTGTTTAACGCTGCACTCAGCAATAGTTCAGGCGGTCTGTAAATAATCGAGTCTGGACCAGACAATCCAGTGATTGACACCATGAACATCGATCCGCGCAATTGGGATACGCTGACATGCATCAACCAAGTCAGCAAGTCAAACCACCCAATCCCATTAGTCGCCTCTTACGACAAGCATAGATTGCATGCAGATTGATATATACACAAAGTTCTCACTAAGTATATCTGGCGTTTACCTGAATGTCCCCTACTCCATTGTTTGATGGCGAGGACTCCTGAAAGAGTGGAATTAACAATTAAACAGTGAGTGAGTGAGTATGGTTTCACGCCGCTTTTAGCAATATTCCAGCAATATCACGGCGGGAGGACACCACACATGGGCTTCACACATTGTACCCATGTCGGGAATCGAACCCGGGTCTTCGGCGACGAGCGAACGCCTTAACCACTAGGCTACCCGACCGCCCCTAACAATTAAACAATTCAATTGTAAAACCCCAAACAACCACTGTTAACAATTACACGTTTATCATCCAGTCCTCCAGCAAACATAAACGACTGCCTGTTAACAACAAATATTACACAACATATATATTACATGGTCAGATCGCTTGCATCACGAACATGATATTATTAGGAACCGACCATTTGATATTCTTGGGGGGGGGGGGGGGGGGGGGGGGGATGTGTGTGTGTGTTGTATGCGGACTAGCTATTTTTTCAGCTAAAACTATGAGCCAAAATAGTTTATATGAAGGAATACACCTTGCAACAATGCATTTTTGTGGCAGACAATTACTTTGAGTAAATTAACAGTTATCAATAATAATTTTTTTCAAGTTATTTGTTTGGACAATACGTTTTTAGAGACACTGTTCTGTGAAGTCCAAGACTCACTCATCCATAAGGATGTTTTGGGGTTATGGTATGGTTGAGCTGGTTCATTCTTTAATTACATGCTTTATTCAGGAGATGATTTCATCCTTAATGCAACAAGGGTATATTTCATATTAAGAATTGTTTTCTGGAGAATGGACCAAACTAGGAAAAAATAATTTGCGATTGTTGAGATAAGATGATCGTAACTCCCACACTTTAAAACAGACTTACGATAGTCGTAGCGCTCCCATCGATTTGCGCAGCGAAGCCTTGGACTATTTTCTGCTCGTAAACAACAACTCAAGCTAAAAACTTACGCCTTTTTCTTTTTCTTTTTCTTTTTCCTTTTCCTTTTCCTTGTCACGGTGTCCGCCGGAGTGTTTGCGTCCTTTGTGGGAGTGGGATGAGTGGTTCTCTGGGTGACTATTGCTTCTATGTCGGTCGGAGGAGGTGGTCGGGGCGGAAGTCTCAGGCAGACTGGACTGACGTCTGTCAGGTGAAGTTGAGTTGTCTCCCTTGCTCGCCAGACGGCGTTTGGAGGGGGAACGGGAAGGTGGGGCACTTATTGGTTCAAGCTTCAACATTTCCGACGAGGATCTACGTTCCGATTCGGATGAATCCCCCCGTAGGTTACTTGTTCTGGTTGACTCATTCTCTCTGGATCTGCGTCTGGAGGAAGGGGTGGAAGACCGACTGCTCTCGTCTGATAAATGCTGTCCGTTTGAGCGATTGAGATTAGGGTCGGACCCACGGGAAACCTTGAGCCGATCTGAAGATGGGGACCTGTCGACGCCATCTTTGTTCCTGTGTCTGTCCCGAGGAACAGGAACCGGTGGATCTTTTGCTGACCTGTGTCTGGATCGAGAACTGGAACTCTGTTCTCGCCTCCTGTCCAGTCTGTGTCGATCTGAGGACGCCGGGCTCTGGTCACTTTCAACAACTCGGCGTCTCTCCGTCGACGACGACTCGGAGTCCCGACCTCTCCTCCTCCTGTCCGACGGTGTAGCTGTCCGGCCGTTGTCGCTATGGTGCCGGGAGCTGTCAGACGCTACGTCAACCACTTTAATCCTGTCATGAGAAGACGCCATGTCAGAATGATTGGCAGCTGAACGCTGTCTGCTGTCAGGGAGGGTGGATGTGGGATCGGAGTGTGGTGTGCTACAAGGCGAAGACATGCTTGGGGTGAGGAAGTCCTGGTGGGAAGAGGAGGGGGAGTTCTCGGGGGACCCCCCTGTCTCCTGAATCTCCTCCAGCTGGGCCGCCAGTTGTCGGGGGTCGACTCCGTGGCGTGATGCGTATCGGGAATCTGGCAAAACAGACAGCACAAGTTAGCTACGCCAGCCACAAGCCCGCATACAAGCACACTCAAGAGCTAGGTTTGTACTTAGTTTGTTTGTTAATAAAAGTATTTTAGTTATATATCCAGCTCCGGTTTACATTATTATTTTCTTATTTTTTTATTCGCATAATAGTCATATGTACACGTGCTTCAAACATAGCCTTCAATAAAGCCTTGAGTTTAATATTTAGCTCCAGTTTGACATATTATTGTCCAAGATGAGCCCTTCGCATTAATAACAACGTGTTTACAGGGGCCTATAAAATGGCTTGTTATAGCCAATAGTTCCATAAACGGGTTCCCTGTCATGTTTTTAGATATTACTATACAGAGCTATTGGTGTAAATTATAGATTAAGGAACTATATTATCCAAATAAATTCTTATAAAATTTTGATTAACGATGAAAGAATGCGTGCTATGCTGTGCCAATACCGTGCAGCTTTGGGTGGTTTCTGGGTTTCAGACGGTAGCACCATATAAATACATAATAATCTCACTATGTAACCATATTAAAACATGGCTACGTCTGTTTTCCTTGTCTTTCTTCAAGAAGACCCAAAACATCAGTCTGACTCTTCATTACATGAGAAATCTTTATGGTAAATTCTGTTTGCATGCAGTTCACTTTTTGATATTGTCATTTTTCTTGTCATACTTTGAATAAAATGCATCATTTTTGTATTGAAAGCCAAAAAAACCCAACTTAATATCTACTTTGTTTTATACATTTCAGTTCAATTCTGAATTTTGGGGTACCTCTCCATTTAAAAAAACCCAAAAGTGATGAGAAACAAAAAAACGTTTTTTGTGGCCTAAGAAAAAAACGTAATTCATATCATATTTCACTAACAAACGGAACGTTGTGTCTTGGTTTTGGACGTATTGTCTTGGTTTTACTAATTTGACATTTGATTGGCCGTCCAATCACGACCACTAAAATAGCGAGATCATAAAGAATTATTCAATTTTTGACGGTTAGCTCAACATTCAGTTGCAACCTGTCCACATATCCAGATGCAACTTTGACGAGAAACACAGGGTGATGGGATCAATCTCTTCCTCTAAATGGGGAGCTTATCGACCTGACAAATACCCTTGCTCTCCAGTGTGGTGGTCATATGCAGGGTAAGGGAGAGAACTGGTGTAGGCAGTGCTCCATAGAGATAGAAAGACAGTACATGCAAGAGGATGTGGTCATGCAGCATGCACGTGCTAGACGTCATAGACATCAAAGGGATGCTGGGAATGCAGACGCTTGGAAATAGTGATGGTAAAGTTATGCATTGTGGGTAAGATGGAATGATATGAATACAACAGGTTTTCATATGTAGTTACGGCATGTGCTGTATCATGAGGGGTAGATACAGGTCAGCCTCAGAATAATGACATACTTCCATGCGATAATTAAATATATTAAAACGAGTATAGATCTATATACATACATAACAAGTGTTGAACCAAATTATATTTATATTTTGTGCAGATTTCCGACTGAAGTCAAAACTAAGTAATTTGTTTAGCCACTCATGCTATCAGATGAACACGGAAGTACGGACCTTGCTCCTCCTCGCTGTCCAGATTGTCGTAAGAGGAGTGACAACTTCCGGCCTCCATGCAGTGGTCCGGAACTGCCCGCCTGCCTCGGTGCTTGGACAGTCTGAAGAGTGAACAGAATACGCTTAGCTGTATCACAGAGTATTCATCATTCATTTACCTGTATCATATGGTGTTCACCTTACCCTGAGTGGTATTACATGGTGTCGACCTCACCCTTAGCTGTATTACATGGTGTCGATTTTACATTTAGCTGTATTACATGGTGTTCATCTTACCCTGAGTGGTATTACATGGTGTCCACCTCACCCTTAGCTGTATTACATGGTGTCCATTTTACATTTAGCTGTATTACATGGTGTTCATCTTACCCTTAGCTGTATTACATGGTGTGCCCCTCAACCTCAGCTGTATTACATGGTGTGCACCTCAACCTCAGCTGTATTACATGGTGTCGATCTTGCCCTTAGCTGTATTACATGGTGTCCATCTTACCCTTAGCTGTATTACATGGTGTCGATCTTACCCCTAGCTGTATTACATGATGTCCACCTTACCTTAGCTGTATTACATGGTGTCCACCTTTCCCTTAGCTGTATTACATGGTGTCCACCTTACCCTTAGCTGTATTACATGGTGTCCACCTTACCCTTAGCTGTATTACATGGTGTCCACCTTACCCTTAGCTGGATAACATGGTGTCCAACTCACCCTTAGCTGTATGACATGGTGTCCACCTCACCCTTAGCTGTATTACATGGTGTCCACCTTACCCTTAGCCCGATAACATGGTGTCCAACTCACCCTTAGCTGTATCACATGGTGTCCACCTTACCCTTAGCTGTATTACATGGTGTCCACCTCACCCTTAGCTGTATTACATGGTGTCCACCTTACCCTTAGCTGTATTACATGGTGTCCATCTTGCCCTTAGCTGTATTACATGGTGTCCATCTTGCCCTTAGCTGTATTACATGGTGTCCACCTTATCCTTAGCTGTATTACATGGTGTCCACCTTACCTTAGCTGTATTACATGGTGTCCACCTTACCCTTAGCTGTATTACATGGTGTCCACCTCACCCTTAGCTGTATTACATGGTGTCCACCTTACCCTTAGCCCGATAACATGGTGTCCAACTCACCCTTAGCTGTATCACATGGTGTCCACCTTACCCTTAGCTGTATTACATGGTGTCCACCTCACCCTTAGCTGTATTACATGGTGTCCACCTTACCCTTAGCTGTATTACATGGTGTCCATCTTGCCCTTAGCTGTATTACATGGTGTCCATCTTGCCCTTAGCTGTATTACATGGTGTCCACCTTATCCTTAGCTGTATTACATGGTGTCCACCTTACCTTAGCTGTATTACATGGTGTCCACCTTACCCTTAGCTGTATTACATGGTGTCCACCTCACCCTTAGCTGTATTACATGGTGTCCACCTTACCCTTAGCTGTATTACATGGTGTCCACCTCACCCTTAGCTGTATTACATGGTGTCCACCTTACCCTTAGCCCGATAACATGGTGTCCAACTCACCCTTAGCTGTATTACATGGTGTCCACCTTACCCTTAGCTGTATAACATGGTGTCCACCTCACCCTTAGCTGTATTACATGGTGTCCACCTTACCCTTAGCTGTATTACATGGTGTCCATCTTGCCCTTAGCTGTATAACATGGTGTCCATCTTGCCCTTAGCTGTATTACATGGTGTCCACCTTATCCTTAGCTGTATTACATGGTGTCCACCTTACCTTAGCTGTATTACACGGTGTCCACCTTACCCTTAGCTGTATAACATGGTGTCCACCTCACCCTTAGCTGTATTACAAGGTGTCCACCTTACCCTTAGCTGTATAACATGGTGTCCACCTAACCCTTAGCTGTATTACATGGTGTCCACCTTACCCTTAGCTGTATTACACGGTGTCCACCTCACCCTTAACTGTATGACATAGTGTCCACCTTACCCTTAGCTGTATTACATGGTGTCCACCTTATCCTGAGCTGTATTACATGGTGTCCACCTTACCCTTAACTGTATTACACGGTGTCCACCTTACCCTTAACTGTATTACATGGTGTCCACCTTACCTTAGCTGTATTACATGGTGTCCATCTTGCCCTTAGCTGTATTACATGGTATCCACTTTATCCTTAGCTGTATTAAATGGTGTCCACCTTACCCTTAACTGTATTACACGGTGTCCACCTCACCCTTAGCTGTATTACATGGTGTCAACCTTACCTTAGCTGTATTACATGGTGTCAACCTTACCCTTAGCTGTATTACATGGTGTCCATCTTACCCTTAGGTGTTTTACATGGTGTCAATCTTACATTTAGCTGTTCTACATGGTGTCCATCTTGCCCTTAGCTGTATCACATGGTGTCCATCTTACATTTAGCTGTATTACATGGTGTCCATCTTGCCCTTAGCTGTATTACATGGTATCCACCTTACCCTTAGCTGTATTACATGGTGTCCATCTTACATTTAGCTGTATTACATGGTGTCCACCTTAACCTAAGCTGTATTACATGATGTCCACCTTACCCTTAGGTGTATTATATGGTGTCCATCTTACCCTTAGATGTCCTACACGGTGTCCACCTTACAGCTTTATCACACGGTGTCCACCTTACAGCTTTATCACACGGTGTCCACCTTACAGGTGTATTACACGGTGTCCACCTTACAGCTTTATCACACGGTGTCCACGTTACAGGTGTATTACACGGTGTCCACGTTACAGGTGTATAACACAGTGTCCACCTTACCCTTAGATGTATTACATGGTGTCCATCTTACCCTTAGGTGTCCTACACGGTGTCCATCTTACCCTTAGTTGTATCACACGTTGTCCACCTTACAGCTTTATCACACGGTGTCCACGTTACAGGTGTATTACACGATGTCAACCTTACCCTTAGGTGTATTACACGGTGTCCACGTTACAGGTGTATTACACGGTGTCCACCTTACAGCTTTATCACACGGTGTCCACATTACAGATGTATAACACGGTGTCCACCTTACAGCTTTATCACACGGTGTCCACATTACAGGTGTATAACACGGTGTCCACCTTACAGCTTTATCACACGGTGTCCACATTACAGGTGTATAACACGGTGTCCACCTTACAGCTTTATCACACGGTGTCCACATTACAGGTGTATAACACGGTGTCCACCTTACAGCTTTATCACACGGTGTCCACATTACAGGTGTATAACACGGTGTCCACCTTACAGCTTTATCACACGGTGTCCACATTACAGGTGTATAACACGGTGTCCACCTTACAGCTTTATCACACGGTGTCCACATTACAGGTGTATAACACGGTGTCCACCTTACAGCTTTATCACACGGTGTCCACGTTATAGGTGTATTACACGGTGTCCACCATACAGCTTTATCACACGGTGTCCACATTACAGGTGTATAACACGGTGTCCTCCTCACAGCTTTATCACACGGTGTCAACGTTACAGCTGTATCACACGGTGTCCACCTTACCTAAGCTATAGTACACAGTGTCCATATTACTCGTAGCTCCAGCATTATTCTTCAAGTATGTTTCTAATACTTACGGTCTGACCACCATCTCGATCTCTCCATTAGGCTGGGTGATGATCTGCTGCACATCTTCATATGTCCGACCCGATAGGGAGATACCGTTCCACTCCAGCACCTGGTCCCCTGGTTACAACAAGAACCAGCGCCATCAACATATCATTATTCAAATTTTCGCGTTGTAAACAGCCGGCAAAAGTAAGTAAAAACTTGAAAATTTGACCCAATAATTACAAACGTTATCAAACGTTACGAACATGTCAGGTATCTGTGAACCAACCCAGACTGTGGAAAATACTCTGCTTATTACATCAACATTGAATAACAATTTCTTGTTTGTTTCCTTTTTGCCACCATCAATCACGATTGTGTCTATTCTTTTGCCCAGCAGCTTAAAACTGATATGTTTCAGTCATAAGTGAAGCTGGAGGAGTCAAATAGGAACAATGTTCCCTTCCCCGGTGGTCATTTTGATTTTTTAGTCTCAGTTTTTTAATGAGTGCCCTGTGTAAAGCTAAGTCACTGTCGATGTGTATTAAGTGTATTCAATGCTTGATACATATACATGTACATACTAAAATTAGATATTTTGTTTGTTTGCTGTACACGCCACGCTCAGCAGTATTCCAGCTATATGACGGCGGTCTGTTAATAATCTAACCTGAACCAGACAATCCACATTTACATAGTGAACATCGATCTACGCAATTGGGATACCGGATCGCGTTGGTCGCCTCTTCCCGACAAGCATAGGTTGCTGAAGATCTATTCTAAACTGGAATCCCCACAAGAACTGAACACAGAGTTAGCATATGATCACAGCGGTGATATTACCAATTTAAATGTTTGACAATGAACGTGTTCCCTGTGTTTGCTACAGACTAATGTTTGGAACGTGGAAATTGTTTCATTTGTGATTTGGCCTTTCGAGAAAGAAAAACCCTCACCAAGGTGTATATCTGTTAGAGTCTCAAGACTACTGAACCTTTGTGACTATATTTTTAAGTGATATTCATCGATTGTTTGTTTCATTAAGATATGTAGATGATGTATGTATAAATATGAATAATTGAAATTTGAGTACGTTTGTTATTGTGCCTCGGGTTATAAAATCTCATCATCTATGCCTGAAGTCATTCCACCATTCCACGATTTCTCCATAGAAATTCAAAAAGCAATTATGTAAAAAAATATATTGTGATTCTCACAGGTCCCTTAATTCAAAGCTTTGTTTTTTTGTTGTTTAACGCAACACTCGTCACTATTCCAGTCATATGCCGGCGGTATGTAAATAATCGAGTCCAGACCAGACAATCCAGTGATTAACATCACGATACCCATCCTCGCGATTGGGATACGATGACATGCAGCAACCAAGTCATGGAGCCTAACCATCCGATCCATTCAGTCGCCTCTTTTGAATGGCATACATACATGCTGGGGACGTACATTTCCCCCGGAACACACACATGTTCTCAAATCAAAGGCTTTGCATGACATTCATCAACTACTCAGAAATAAACGTTTAAAAATCACTCATATCCAGAAGAAAATGGTATTTTGAATTGGATGACTGATTCTATCCAGCACAAGAACGCTTATGCTTCTCCTCAAGAACACTTCAAAATGTGACCTTGACCTACATGCTTGGATCAGCCCCGACCTACCTATCTCGAGCTCTCCGTGCAGCTGCTCCGCTATTCCACCAGGGTATATTGATGTCACAAATGCTCCAATCTGATTGGTTCCAGGTATCTGCTTACCACCAACAATCTTCATTCCAATTCCGTTGCCTAGAAACCAAATATATCCCATTTCATAATATATTGAACGGAACCTATTTTGCTCCAGGCATATTTACCAGGCAGACAAACCAGTTTGCCAATTTGTCATTGGTAGGGGTTATCGAAACAGGACATTACCACATAGTATTATGCGTCTAGTTGATGAGAGGCGGTAAATGTTGTATTATCAAAGAGAGATTGTGGTTTTCAGTTGCGAGTAGTGATTTCATGCCTCAGTTAAACAATTTCCTTCATAATTCGCTACGCGCTCTATCAGAAGAAGAAACTTCAGATGAATAAGAAAATGGTCCGTCAGCAGAAATTGACTAGCGGCTCGGCAAAGAAATACAAGCGTTTTCCTATTCTATATTTGGAGGTGTGGAGATGTAGAGATCATTACTTCGCTCCATAGATAATGTACGTCTTGGATATACGCAGTGGCAAACACTATCAGGTAACATACAGACATTATACTTACACATAATATTAACACTGTCACGTTAATATACAAAAATAATTATTTCATGTCACATTTTTCAACATCTACTAGGGGCGGTCGGGTAGCCTAGTGGTTAAAGCGTTCGCTCGTCGCGCCCAACACCCGGGTTCGATTCCCGACATGGGTACAATGTGTGGAGCCCATTTCTGGTGTCCCCCGCCATGATATTGCTGGTATATTGCTAAAAGCGGCGTAAAACCATACTCATCCACTTCAACATCTACTGCTATGTTTTTATGTTCAACAATTTGTGTATCTATCAATCGTCATTTAATCATTCTCAGCCATTTTTATTGGCTTTAAGGGGCGGTGTTCGCTCGCGGCGCCTCAGACCTGGGTTCGATTCTCTTATGTACACCATGAGCCCAGTTTCTGTCGCCCTCCGCCAGGATATTGCTGGTATGATTGGTAAAGGTGGCGGAAAACGACTCACTTACTCACTTTGCTGGCGTGAACCATTTATTACAGAGATAGGACTGTGAATTTGTTTCTAGAGACGTGCATTTCTACATATCTAGGTCATAATGCACAACCTGACTAATGTAACATCACACGAATAATAAACCTTATTAAAATGGAAATGAAAACAAACATGTAATAATGTTCTTTTAATAAGTAAATGATAAACTTTAAAAAATATTCCATCAATATTAACCACAGGTTAATGAGTATTACTAAAATTTTATGCTCCTGTAAACACTATTCCATCAGTTTCAGGGGCGGTCGGGTAGCCTTGTGGTTAAAGCGTTCGCTCGTCACGCCGAACACCCGGGTTCGATTCCCGACATGGGTACAATGTGTGAAGCCAATTTCTGGTGTCCCCTGCCGTGATATTGCTTGAATATTGCTAAAAGCGGCGTAAAACCATACTCACTCACCCTCATCAGTTTCATTGCGTGAGACAGCAGAAATGAACTTAGCATTTTTAACCCTTTTGGGGATGAATTCCAGGTATTCTTTGTGAGCAAACGTTTTAACCACGAGACTACCACACTGTTCCTATCTCACGTGACAAGACTGCTGCAACACAATTTGCAATGAATTGATTCGTGAGATATTGGGGAGTGAGTATGGTTTAACGCCGCTTTTTTATTCCAACAATATCACGGCGGGGAACACCAGAAATGGGCTTCACACATTGTACCCATGTCGCGAATCGAACCCGGGTCTTCGGCGTGACGAGCGTCACGACCGCCCCTTGAGATATTGGGACGTTATGTCATATTTATTGAATATGATACAGAAACATTACATTTTAATAACCACACATGCATCACGTATTAATGGCATGCTATTGAGATTTATTTGCGATATATAGTATAAAAATGTCAACATGCAGTATTGATATATTGATTTCTGTTCTGGTTAGGATTATGATTGTTCTCGACCTGCCTTGTTGAATACCGTCTCAAACAGATGTTTTCCTGCTTTGTTTGTTATTTAAAACCGCACTCAGCAATATTCCAGCTATATGACAGCGATCAGTAAATAATCGAGTCTGGACCAGACAATCCAGTGATTGACATCACGAACATCGATCCACGCAATTGGTACACGATGACATGCTTCAACCAAGTCAGTGCGCCGGACCACCCGACCCCGTTAGTCGCCTCTTACGACAAGCATAGTCGCATTTTACGGCAAGCATGGGTTGCTGAAGACCTATTCTACCCCGGATCTTCACGGGTCTCAAACAGAAGTGTCAAAGCCTGGTAGCATATTGACTTTCTCCCCATCTGTATACCCAGGGACAGATTCCAGGAAATAACTAATTTATTATCAGTCTTCTGATATATAAATATACTACTCCACTTTTGATAAGGATATTAATATCTTGCCATGATACGCAAAACTCATAATATGTCAAGTGTATATCTAAATAGACTGATATATCTGATTACCCTTATCAAAAGTTGAACAGTACATTTCTAGGTCTCTCTCGTTCGAGGCCGTGCCTTTTAATGTAAATAAGGCCGAAGTCATGTTGAGTGATATTGATCGGTTGGTGGTATCAAGCTAATGAGAGTTATTACACGCTATTTTAGTGATCAGAGATTGACATGGCTACGCCACTTCTGCGTTGTCGCGAATGGGCTCTCGGCGTTTATTATAATGGAATGGAGAAAAAATGAATGGAAAAGAAAGTATACCGAGTTTGTTTTTTATGTGATTGAAAATTAAAATAACTGTTGTTAAATAAGATTGTGTCTATTTAACCATCACTCATCCCTGCAACAGTTAAAGTAATCTTTATAAATAAGATAAGATGTCCAAGTCACTCATCAACAGATGTGGATAATGTGATATTTTTTATTAATTTTTAAAAGTTTTTGAAAACTATAAAAAAAATTAAAACCACGTAGAAGTATTCTTTTAGTGTTAGCTAAGCGCCAGTACAGTTCTTCTTTCGAATATAATCTTTCGCTAACTTAAAATATTTTTAGATCGAACATGATAAAATGAACTTAGAGGGATAGTCTCTTTTGCTGCTCAGTATATATTGTACATTGGATACTCCAAGATGCCTCATACACCTGTGGGTGTATTGATTTTTAACGCTGTTTTGAACAGTATTTAGTTATATCAAGGCGTGTCAGTTTAACGTAGGGGGAAAGAGACTCAAGCTCAAAGTCACGCATGTCTCCTATGTTTATCACTTAAGTGTTATCAACGATAACATAGGTTTTAATGCTGACGGATCCGTGATCTTAATCGGGAGAACCTGGGATTCCAACCCTATGATCCGCGGAACCTGGACGTTAAGGGAGGGGTGGGGGTTGGGGTGTGTGTGTGTGTGTGTGTGTGGGGGGGGGGGGGGGGGGGGGGGGGGCAACTCTGCGCATTGTTGTGCAGCGCCTTAGACCCCTGGGCCACCCAAGCAACTAATTATTCTACTCCAGATAGTCGTGTAACCGCCATATATCTGCACATCACTACAGCTCTATGAGTGCTATTAAAGAGCCTATCTAGCACCACTAGCAAGCGGCACAGCCCCGTCATTCTACAGCCACACCACATCATGCCTATATACGACTGTTCGACACGACATCACGACACGACAATACGACACGACAATACGACACGACACTCAGCCCAACTAAAAGCCATAGCAGCATACCTTTCCTACCTGTCACACACCGGTCCTTGGGGTCACGTGTCACCAGGATACGCTTGGTGGGGAAGTTGTACTTGATGGGCTCCGGGGGTGGTGGCTGCAAATGCACGTACAGTTTATAAGTGCGTCAACACACATTGACCACAGTGACATGAACAAACAATAACACCTTTGTGTAATTGAAATACAGACGCATTTAACAAGATACCCCGCCACCTGACATTGCCACTATTCCCCAACCCCCACCCCCACCCCACATACACACATTGAAGATATAATTCGATAAAAGAACTTCATCCTCCACTACCCGAAATTAAGAACCCAAATTTTGGCTACACATAAAAAAGCGTCAATACCGTTTTATAACAGTCCCTTGTACGATTTTGACTACATCATGAGCTTGTGTTTAAGAATTCAAGATTTGATAGCCCCAATAATGTTAGCGACAAAACCCTTTCCATAATCTTAAGAAATCTCTGCTTAAAGCAGTCATATGTAAGATTCCGACTATATAATAAACATGTGTGATGATAGTCCTACATAAAATACTGTATCCTCCTCTGCTATTTATATATCGCAATATGCATTATCTTTCTTTCGTCAAAATTCATTCATTTATTCGTAAATTTGGTTCTTTTTATTAATTCAATATTTAGATATGCTGAAAGGGCACCTGGTAATTGTACTAGAGTAAGGTTCAAATGTCAGCTTCTCGAGAACAAGACAACAGTTTTCGGTCTTGTAGGTTTTCATGCAGGTTTCTAAGATGTTTCTACCGAGCAGCCACTGTCGCAGTCACTGTTGTGTTTCAAGTGACATTATTGTTCCCGGACACCGACAGTAAGTGACAGTGCTCTGTCCATTATCAGGTTTCAACACAAGCCAGGAATGCAACGCCGATTTCAATATCTCTACTTAAACCAATGATATCCTTCTCTGCTAGAAGATGACCTCGATCTCTAGAATTGAAGAAGGTAAGCGAGCCATTGCATCTCTTGACCAACATAGTACAAAGTAACATATAGTTGTATTGATAGAATATCGTGATCGGTTTTATTTACAGGTGTTTTATCATATTTTATCCTTAAGCTACAGGTTAATAGAAATGGGATCTACCAGTTAATAGAACAGGGATCTACAAGTTAATAGAACGGGGATCTACAAGTTAATAGAACGGGGATCTACAAGTTAATAGAACGGGAATCTACTAGTTAATAGAACAGGGATCTACAAGTTAATAGAACAGGGATCTACAAGTTGATAGAACTGGGATCTACAAGTTAATAGAACGGGATCTACAAGTTAATAGAACAGGGACCTACGGGTTAATAGAACGGGGATATAATGCACTGTATAAAAAAGGATGGGACCATTTGTGATATGGTCGGTTGATGAAACCGAATATACTGATACTAGCAATTCCTACCACCCAGTACTTTGAGATATTCGAAACATGTTATAATCGATATAACCCGAGTACCTTCCTCCTCCTGTCCAGCTGTTTGAGGATGGTCACGCCCCCTTCTGTCATGTGCTTCATGATTGGTTCATCGGCGTCCACGCTGTTGTCACTCTCTGTCCGGTAGACGGCATTCATCAGGTCTGCATGACACATGACTCAAGACATGACAAATATACACCAGGACTAAACGAAATTACACACAGTATATCAGATAGGCTTTGGCGTCTACATTCATTTACCCACTCAGTCACAGCCCACTCACTCACTCACTCACTCACTCACTCACTCAACTACTACTAATTTGAAAGCGTTATGTTGGACTTGCGTAATAATTCTAGAGAAATCATCCATGAAATATGCTAATATAATATTCGTCACAATTTGCCTCCCAAAAGAATCTGATAGGCAGATAATCGTGACAGATTATTCTCTGACGTTGGCGTTTTACATTTAGGATTCTTATCGATTCCAAGGTTACAGTGTTTAGCGTCGTTGTTATTAACAAGCAAAAAAACGATTAACATGTAGCTCACCCAGATTGTTTACGACTGGATTACATTGTCATTGTTCATTTTTGAGCTACAGGACACAAAAAGCTTTACAATTAAGTTGATGAGCGCTCTCTCATTCCAAAAAGGCAAGACATTGTTCACATGTATTCCAATGCCTGGTCACAATGACGCTCGTACATATGATACCAGCTAACGCCCTATTGAAATATATGTCTTTGTTTCAGCATTATGATACACAATGTTCCACTGTGTGCGTTATTTGAAAAATATGTTCATGTACAATCAAGGCAAATTAATAATAACTATGTAATAACTCATATCGTTGTGTCAGATTATTAAATATGTTCATCCTAGGGATAACATTTTGAAAGAAGTACTAAAGACTTAGGATGATTTTCACAAAGAAGAATATATCGATGGAACAATGACTGCACAATCACATATGATGGAGAGAAACTGTAAAACCTAATATGAAAATCCGTCAATCAAAACAGTCGAGAGGGGGAGGATTATTAACAATTATCACCAGGACTAACAGAACCTCACGACTCCCACCAAACCGCTGCCTTCCTACCTTCTACCCCTCCAGGGAAGTTGAACTCAGCCGACACAGGTCTACTTCCGGTTCCAATGTCATGGATGATCTTCCTGGACTTGGCTGTGACGTCATCTAGCAGTGGCATGGCGGGCGTGTAGTCACTGGCTGGGCTCTCGGCATCAGAGAAGGCGTTGTAAGATACTGAATCCCTGGTGGGAACAAAATCTAAATCAGCCCTATTAGAATACATATCAGGTAGCGTTACACTGCTAGACAGCCTAGCATCCCTGGCGCTCACTTGAACATTACCCTCCCTTGCAGCAACAGATGGGTACGAATCCATTCTGCGAGAGAGTGTGGATGGTGGGGAGAAAGTCGTCGGGTCGGCGTAATCGCTGTAGTTTTGGTAGATGCCTGCGTCGTCGGAACGATGTCGACGTGACGTCTCTTGCTTATGAGCCAGGTACTCCGTGGAGCTGTAGTTTGAGTGATACCCCGACCGCCTGTCCTGGGGATCCCTGTAAGGGTCTATGTCATCTCTATCGTAACGGGATTCGTCGTCCAGTGGTCTGATAATACCTGTAGGTATGGGTCTTTGGGGGCCATACGGGGAGGAACCGTAGCGGCCAGGTATATCGTCATAGCTGTGCGCCATTGATTGCCGTGCCCGGGCTAATTTTAACAGTTCTGTTTTCAACCTAGCAGTTTCCTCTAACTGTCTCTTTCGTTTATCAATCTCGTATTGTAACCGTGCCTTCTTTTCTTCCTTAATTTTACCTTCGTCATCGTCCGAATAATAGGTAGGCGTTCTTGAGCCTGACCTTGACCCCGACCTTGAACTTCCGGGCAGTTGGCTTTCTGACCTACTTACCGACATTGGCATTTGTCCATTAAATTGTCCCTGGTCAGGCTGCAATCTCTCACTGGAGTTAGTTTTGCCCGTATAAAACATTCGTGCATAAGCTGATGGTTTGATTTTTTTGTATCTTGCATTAGACACAGGCTCGGATCTGGTGCTTTCAGTGTCACTGAGACCAGAGAGCGAACTATCATCTGTGGAATACTTTGAACTCTGTCGAGCATCTGCACTGTCACTCATTTTGGCCTGGAAATCAGCCTCAATGTCCTTATCCTCCTTAATAGGACTAAACTTCGCTATCATGGGATCCGAGGACTGGCGTTTATGTCTCTGCCTCCTAGGCGTGACCTGAGGAGACGACCTAGGGGTCAAGGACGTCGAAGGGGATAATCCTCTCCTCCTTGAGTCCTGCTCCAGTTGGGTAGTAGCTGGAGGTAACTTTCCATTTCTGGCTAGATACGCCTGTCTTTGAATCAGTTCAGTTTCTAGCTTCAGCGCACCTATCTGCATCTGTAGAGCCCGTATCTCTTCCAGTTCCTCCAGTTTTCGTTTCCTATCCAACGTCACTCTTCTAAGCTCCTCCTGCAGCCTTTTCTTCAAGGATATCATAGCCTCAGTACATGGAATGCCATAAATATTAATCAAAGAGTCAATTATTGCATCAGTCTCATCCTTGGGAAGAATACTGGTACCCAGGGAACCAGCTCTCTGTAGCTTCATTTGAGTCGAGACTAAAGTATCCCTCTTCTCCTGCAGCATTCGCTCGCTGATGTCAAAGCTCTTGGCCTTGCCGACCGATGAAAGCACCTTCTTCTCTGGAATTCTATTTATTCTTGCCACTTCCAAATCATCTTCATTCATAGAGTCATCACTTTGGGAGGAGTACTTTCTGTGATCAGGTGAAGGCTTTGGTGGTTTGGGAGGTTTCTGCGGTTCTTGGCGGGCTTTGAGGGCAACTTGCTTGGTTCCCTTTAGTTTGGCTTTGGGTGTGAGTACTGGCTCCTCGTTCGTTGGGATTGGTGGCAGTTTTCTCCTCACTTTTTTCGGATCTTTCTTTTCTTTAGGTTCCTTCTTTGGCTCTTTAGGTTCTTTCTTCGGCTCTTTAGGTTCTTTCTTCGCCTCTTTAGGTTCCTTCTTCAGTTCCTTAGGTTCTTTCTTCGGCTCTTTTAGTTCCCTCTTCAGCTCTTTAGGTTCTTTTTTCAGCTCTTTTGGTTCCCTCTTCAGCTCTTTAGGTTCTTTCTTTGGCTCGATCTTAGGAGGTTCCTTAGGACGAGCTGCTATCTGGAATTATTCAAATTCATTCACATGTATGATCATATAGCGCTGACGATTTGAGTGATGAAGTTATGATTAATGTTAGAAATAAATAAAAGGTTTATGGATTTAAGCATTGTTTTTTCACGATATAAATACATTTACTCATCAAGGTAGATCGACTTTCACAATAGTCCTCTGAAATTCCATTAATGTTACTTATACACACTCAAAATTTTCCTTGCGTATGTCAGCCAAAGAAACATGTGAAACAGTGACTTGAGTTTGATTATCGTTCATGCATTTTAACTTTGTACTCGTTTCATGCTGCAGCTCTGATCGGAGAACAAACAGGTGAACGGACACTAGATGACACGGAAAATCACGGAAAGTCACGAGTGGTCAGACTGACAGAGGCATGTGCTGGCAAGGTGGACCGGAAGGTGTTGGACGTAGAACGTTTCAAACATGCGATAAAATGGAGAGAAAGAAAAGAAAATGGATGATAAAAAGATAGAGAGGAAAGTAGGTGAAAGGTCAACGTTGTGTGAGTAAGCGCCTAAATATGTGAAAACTGTAGCTTACATGACAAGGAGACACATAGTGCAATAAAACACAGGGACACGAAGTACTGCTAGAATAGGACTCACATTTCGTGAAAAATCGTCCGAAGTCGTCACATTAACCATTGCTTTCCCGACAGAAGTAATGCTATTTACACAGTTAATAGGATGGAAGAGTCGCGTGCGTGTTGCCAACACTGACGTCAGTCACACTCGAGTTCAAAGCGTTTGGCTATGTGCTAATTGTCTTGTTCATATTGGGCAGATGGGCGTGACCAACAACGTATAGACCATAGATCAGAAATCGGTGAATTGGGTGGTAATTACCCCTAAGGTTGCAATTACATATAATCAATGCGAAATGTGTGAGGAACTACATGGCAACTTAAGTCTGTGTATGACACTGTTTAGCCTGACAGTGGTGGCCAAGTATAAGGAATAATTCGAAATGAGACTCTTAGATAAGCGTGATTGCAGGTTTGATGCTCTGATCAAGCGCCATCTTTCTCTGTGACGTCACTGCTCGGGTGGCGGGCGGCACGCATTACGTCATTATCATCTACGTTGGTTGCAAGACAAAGGGAGAATTTCAATACTACCAACTGACGCTGTAGCTCGCAACATGGCTCGTCATGGCCGATCCATTAAAACATATATTTTCAGTAGCTTTCTGCAAAGATCATCTTACCGTGTATACATGTATGCTCCGTTCAGAGAACATATTGATTAAAAGAGTGGAGAGTTAAATGGCATTTGCAATGAGTGATGTATTTTCTTCACGGGACAATACGACAGCATAACACATCACGATGTTGGATATTGATGATCATCCTGCCAAAAGACGTGTGTTAGCTTTGCCTCGACAGCATCATGCCGATCAATAGAAGAATGCTATTTGTCATTTGTTCTGCACACAGATCTGAGACGATGCCATGATACCTAATGTACAATTTAAGTACCGTAGGTATTCTTGACCCCAAGAAAACCACAAAGCATCTACGCCGCACGGATTAGATTCACATCTTCGATGAGGAAACAGTTTCAGGATAAACATCTTCAAAGAATGTCATCAAATGTAAATAATGTTTTGCACTTCTAATTAACATAGATGTCAAAGGGGTTCGCGAAATAAACATTGTTAAAAACTAAAATAAAACGCTTCAAGAGTTGGAAGTGGTTTAACCGTAATGCAATTTGCCTTCCCATAAGATCCAGATTGTCGTTGAGGAGGCTGGATCGTTGGATTTAAGAAACCGTCTTATCCCTAATGCAAAAATCAATAATAGAGTTCTTAAAACCTGAAAAGACAGAACCAGCGGGTAAGAAAAACTATACAACAATCTAATTGTAGAAAGGAAAGATTCACCTTTTAACCATGGGCCAGCATTGAAGGACGAACATCTATTTCACGAAGCGCGATAAAAAATCCAGTGGATCTTTTGATTACATTTTGTGCGAGTTCTAAAACAAATCAATATTAATTTGATTTCAAGGCTTATTTGGTGTGACCTCTTTCTGTCGTTCGCAATCGAATCTAACCTCTGTCTGCTTTCGAAAGATTGTCGCCAACGTGGTCCTTTGGCTATCACAGAATCGTCATTGGATGAAAGACGGTACAATACTTTGGCCATTAACGCGTATTTTGCATTGAATGGAATTGCTTAGCGAAAACCACAAGCGAAAGGTCAGTTTCAATGTTATTAAAAATGTCTGCAAATATCAGAAATCTTCAAATGTTCATTCGAACATTATTTAATTACATTTACCCTGAATACATATTCTTGATTTGCTGTATACTGCACTTAAATGCAGCAGATCTCCCGAATGCACGTGGGTATAAATATGATGCAGCAACATCGATTTTGATATCCCTTTGCGAACGCGATGATGTGCGTATGTTATAGGATGAGCTATCAGATGGCATGTATGTCGATTAGAATTCATCATAAATTATACTCTGGTTGACGCCATGAAATATGTCCATGCAGTAAAATAAGTAAAAATTCATTATTAATTTTAATATTGATGTCCATGCATATACTTATCAATTAACGAAGACACTTAAAGTAATTGACCATACACATCGTTGTTCATATAACAGATCAACACAAAACTGGTTCTGGGTATTTTACATAGGAAGAGTGTCTTGTTTGAGCCAAACAGGGAAATTTGAAACATTTGAAAATATTGTGCCATGTTAATTGAAATTAAGCTGTACTGATTCAGCGCTTTTTACACGTTTTGCCATTATTACTGATCTAACCCTGGACGACACTTTCGTATTTATATCAGTTATGTCCTCATTCCAAATAAAAGAAAAGAAATAAACATAGGGATAAGCACACTGACCGCAGAGCTACTGTGTGGAGAGGTGAGGTCACTCTTTACCTCCTCAAAATATTTTAGCTTATCACGAATACTTGGGCGAGGTTCCTCCACCTCTGCCACTACTTCCGGCACATGTGGCTCTTGTGGAGAAGCTTCTTGTGGAGCAGCTTGAAGAGGAGCTGCACATGCGCCTTCTGTTACTTCCGGTACTTCCATTGGCTCGGGTACATTCTGGTTGCACAAATCGCTTAGGCTACTTCCATAGGAAATCGTCCGTGTTGGTTTCTGCGCTGCTAGTTCCTCGTCCAGGTCAGTGCCAGTGGAGGAGGGGGAGTGGGGTTTGGGAGGGGAGGAGTCCGAATCTGGAGGAGTTACTGGGGAGGGGAATGTGTACAGTTCGTGATCGGGAGAGGATGAGGGGGACACAGAGGTGCTCTCCGAGAACTCGCGTTTTATTGAGGTTTTCTGTTCTGGTGTGGGTGGGGAGTCAAGAACCTTATATTGGGGTGAGACGGATTGTTCCTCTGACTCTATGTGTTGAATAAGGAGAGGATTAGGTTTTGCCTTAAGATCCTTTGCCTTTCGTCTCTCAGTAGAGTCCTGTCGAGGGAGTGTTTTGCCATTTGATGTGCTTGTGCTTTTAAGCGATTCCTGAGAACTCGATACACTTTTATCAACTAGAGCCAGATTACTGGCAGTCGGTGGTAGGATTAATGGTTTTTGTGGTGGGACTGGCTTTCCAGCGGGTGTTTTTTGAGATGCCAAGATCTCTGGAGTTGGATCTGGAAGCTTTCTCCTGGGCTTCGGTGGTGGTATCGGCTTCACGTTTGCTGCTCCTGTTTTGAGCATGTTTTGCAGATCCTCGCTTATTTTCCTTATTTCGCTTGTGGTGCTATTTTCAACATGCGGTCGCGAAGAACTGACTGTTTTAACCTGACCACATTCACTCCCTATTCCAGACTTAGAATATGTAATAGTTGTCCTCGCAGCAGGCACTGGCTGAGCAAGACTTGTACAATCCATAACAGGGAAATCATCTTTAGAATGACATGCCTCTTCTCCATCCCCGTCATCATAGTTCCCATTGCCATTCTCGTCTCTGAGGTTCTGAACAGTAACTTGCTTCCCATTCCCGTCTATGATACTAATATTCTCCATGATGTTATATCTCTTGAGACCTGTGTACGTAAAGTCTTCCTCCTCTTCTTCTTCAACGGGACGCACTACAGCAGCAGCACCAATAGCACAAACCAGTTCCTCAGCTTCTTCATCCGCCTCATCCTGTTCTTCCTCTCTGGACCTCTGTCGCTCCAATTCCTCCATCTGTTTGGCTAGCATGTCTTCTTGTTCCGCCTCCTCTACTGATGGAGACACGTCCAAGATGGGTGAGAGGTCTATGACAGGGGACCAGTCTGTGGTAGGGGGCCTCGCCTTCTGTCTTTTGCTTCCTTGATAATCAATAGCCTTCGTAGAAGGATCTGCCAATTCCACTTCTTCCTCGGGGGTTGTTGCATTGTCGTAATACCCGGGAGATACCGGTGACGTTGGCGATTCCGCGCTGTCCATTGATTCTGGGGAGACTTGGTCCGAGTCATAGCTGGATGTGTTGACGCGTAAGTTGGTAGGAGACACGCTCATTGATGTGAGACTCGCTGTGCTGCTGGCGATTGTGGCAGCATAGGTAGCTAGGTCCATCACAGGAGCACTGTCGGTTAAGCTGTCTGAATCATCGAAATGACGTACCTGAGGGGTGGAAGCACTGGTTTTCTTTTCTCTCGATGACATATCAAAGGTTAAGGGTTCTCCTAATGTCGTGACCAATGAGGTTTTAATCTCTTCTGGTGACAATGGAGAGGGCTTCTGTGCTAATAATACTGTCTGCTGGGGCGGGTCCATATTAACACCCTGTCCGTCAGCATACAGATCATCTAAAGAGAGTTGTCTGGATGGAGGTGAGATATCATTGTAGGTGAAATGATGTCTCTTGTCCTTCGGTGAAACAGGTGACCCTCTTCTTTTACCAGGGTAGGAATCCTTCCTTCTGGGTGAAAATGGGGGGCTTTCCAAACCTTCCCTCCAACTAGGACTTCGAGGAGGAGTTGGGCTACTCAAGTTTTTCTCATTCGGATCTCCTACAGTTAAACCTTGTAGAGGCGGGGGGTAATCTCGGTCGGGGATTTCCGGAATCGCTTGCATGCCCAAATCAAATGCTGCATCTGTGTCATCACTGCGCATGCTTCCGACCTCTTCTGAGTCTTGATTAGTGCCCAGTTCTGATTGGTCGCCGTCACCTTCGTCATCTGATGACGTCAGGCTGTGGGAACGAGACAGATTAAGTGATTTGGGCCTGTGTTTCCGGCGAGGCTTCGGCCCCCTGTCGCCATTACTTACGGTGCTCATTGATGTGCTCATGGAAGAGAAGTCGTCGCCCGCGTCATCAGTGCTCGTGCCTTCAGTGCGGGGCTTCTCTGAAATATCCTCCATCTCATAATCAGAGTACTCATCGGAGTCGCTCTTCGTCATCACCCCACCGGTGCCTGAAACAGCCGAAAGAACACGAGTCAAAATGCCAAGACTTGTGGAATAACCACTCTGTGAATTACTATGATGGTCATCACAACACACAGGCTGTCATAACTGATTGAATACAGTGGGCAACATATATGATTTTAAATAAACAATGTCACCGATTCATCATTTAATTTATTGAATTTTTATTGATCTGAAAAATGTTACATTTTGGCTTCGATTCATAATGGACCGATTTTATTTTACAATGCAAGCACAATATTCATTTACTTTGAGTTACATAAATGTATTCATGTTACAAATATGAAAAGTCGACGTCTAAAAACACGGTCCTGATGAACTGCTTAAATAGTATCGCTCGCGTTGATATACGACTGTAAATTGTCAAAACTGGTATTGCACAACGAATATTGACCTTATATAATTTCGTAACAGCTACACACACAGGTGCACATACGATATCTGTGATTGTTCATCGACTAAATTGTGTTACAACATCTCAACTGAATAATCACTTACATGTTTTCATAAAATACTTTTATTTCTTAACAACAGCATAATACAATAACTGACCACAGAACAACAGAGCGCCAAGCCATGTGCAGAAAACAGGACCGAGACTGTTTGCGTACTGGTAGAGTTAAACTACACCAACAGCGTTTCTCATTCAAAACCTTTGGGGACCTTCTCAAAGCTTCTATTGGTTATTTTTATCATAAGAACGTATAAAGCTGAATGTATAGGCTAGGAGCAATCAGCGAAGTGGTAGTTTTTATACGGAACTAAGAAGAGACCAGAGTGAGAGACGGAGCCTAGGTCGGCTAAGGGGCGTTTGACAAGGACATGCGCTACAAGCTGCTATTAATTTGATTGCTCGACAGTTTTATGTTGGTTATCTAAAGGGAAAATAGCTGAGCTATTTAGATGAATCTGAAAATCCCTATCGCACTACTCAATACGGTTGTAATCTATACTACATAAATAGCAATATTTTATTAATTACGATATGAATATATGTTTGGTTTTGATTGATATTGTTCTGCTGTGGGGATGTAGCAAAACATGTCTGCTTAAAGTAATTTGAATATAACTTTTTATGCCAAAAACATTCAGCTGTGACTATGAATTTTGAAAAAACCACTGTCATCATGATCATAAATTTAATTCACGTACCTTAAAATGAATATTTGGGTAATGAAAGCGATAAATGAAAATCCTTTATTAATGACTGATATATTTATATGATTTCAGATACGTTGATAAGAAATTACGAAAAACATAAGTCCTGTCGGAACTCATACGTTATCAGTTTCTCTGTGTATATATGTACAATCTCACCGGAAGCCATTTATTAACATCGTATAGCCATTTAACCATTCGCTGCGATTATCCTGATCAACTAGATACAGTTAACTCCAATACTAAATGAAGATGATGCCAGCTATCTTGACAAATGGATTCCTTTAAATGACAGAGAAGATGACTTCGCAAGAAGGTCAGAATACACACTTTATCACATCTGCTTAAAGATCTCTTACCTCATTTTAACCATGCAACATTATATAAACCAATGATTTGAATAGTGATATAAAACAACTGAAAAAAAACATATAGTGTGCTAGACAATCTTACATGCGTGTTTGCTACAAACAACGGAGTCTGATAAATGAGTAAAACTACCTAGAACGTAGCACTCTATTATTAAAGTGGGATGCTAAGTATGAGATGTCAGCATCTTCACTACAAAATCGTAATGTAAATATGAAACATATCCAACGGAAGTGGCGTCCATATAACGGGGAACAAAACTTACAGTCACATTCATTCGTCACTTAAGTGGATCAAGTTCAGAAATAATTCAAGCGAAGATTCCAATTATGCAAGGTTGGTTATTAGGAAAGATGTTTGGGCAGTGATGTAATTAGAAGAATTGGTTTCAGCAAATTTGCCTCTTACGGTACGCCACTGTGTAAATTCTAGTGCAGTAACTATCTATTGTATTACATCGATTGACTTTAACACTTGCAACTGCAGAGAGAAACACACTCCGAAGCATCTATACTGACTGATACATTGTCTATAAGGATAATTGTATGATAAGTAAATATTCTTTTCCCAAATAATCCCCGCTGGTGGTCCAATGTTGGATATATGCAATATATATACATATACTATTCAGAAGAAGTTAAAGACGACCCGATTCTTGTCATATTACTATAGACAAACTGTCAGACAGATTAGCTACAGTAATATGAAAGAATAAGGTGGTCCTTAACTTCTTCTGAGTGGTGGAATATTTCTATTTCTATTTACACTAAATAAGGAATCGACAAAGTATTTAACCATCACCCGAAAAATAGAAATTATCAAACGAGGTTTTAGTACATTATCCCCTGTTCGCACTCGGCGTTTGATAGACTGAGTGTCAAGGTGGGGATAGACATGACGGGTTGTTTGGAGATGTGACTCAGGCTGTAACTGACGCATGTTAAACCGCATTTCATAATAAACAAATGTAAACATGGGAGAGTGTGTGCGGAATTTTAGAAGATTTCTTCGATATCGCAATAGGTACGTATGTTGTTTTCTCCCGACTTCCGTAAGCGTGTGAACTAGAACAGTGTCCCTGTGGAGAGGTGAGTGGTAGTTTTCAGGCTCACATATCTGAGTTAACTCAAGACACACTAGGTTTGGGGGGGGGGGGGGGGGGGGGGGGGTGGCCTGTCTGTAACAAAGATACACTTCCCATCATCCTATGTCTCAACACAGAGTATAGGGAACTGGCTTCCACACCCGCCGTTTACACTAGAGGCAAAAGAAAATATTCACCTGGGCCCACTTGCACAAAGCGATCTTAGCGCTAAGACAATTGTAAGCCTATGTTAATGTGTGGGAGTTACGATAATCTCAGCCCTAAGATCGCTTTGTGCAAGTGGGCCCTGATCTTGGTGGTGGATTGTATTTGATACAGGTATTGCTGTTTGCAGTGTTTCGACTGTTTTCAGCCAAGTAACGTTTTCATAACGTTTGTGATTTTTTTGTCAAGTCCAAGTTTCAAGTGTATACCAGTACTTTCTTTTGCCTGTCAGTTTGTGCGATACCTATTGAGATATTACCGCAATCTTCTAAAACTCCACGCACGTTCCCGTGTTTACTTTGTTTATTAATACAGTAAAGTACGGTTATAACTAACTCAAAGGGACTACTAATTTTAGTTCGTTATAACCGTTATAAGCATATATACAGTATAACAACAGCAAATAGTCGGGACCAGAAAAGTAAGTTCGTTATATCCGTCAGTTCGTTATAAGCGTGTCCGTTATAACCGTAGTTTACTGTACTTGAAATGCAGTTTAGTATGCGTCAGTTCCAGCCCAAATCGCATCCTATTCGGACGACAACACCTCCAAAGAACCAGTCATGTTTATTCCACACATGGGCGCTCAGAATACCCCCCTTAAATGCTGAGAAGCACAATCGCCTGCAAGTAATTATCACGCCTTTGGACAAGCATTCATCTTCATCATGTGACTCCAAGTTTTTAACCCAATCAAATTATTCAAACACTACAGCCAGCCAATCAGATATGAAAGGTATAAACCAAGTCCCATAATGCCATGCAAACAAAGCCTATGGACAGCACAGAGCGTAGGAAGAAGCAACGGACAATAAAAAACAGTCTAGATAGAAAATATTCACCGCATGGCCCCATTACAGTTAATAGGACGCCTAGGAGGCAAAGAGAAAGCAGAAAATGATATCAACCAATAGTATAAAGTATGGTAAAGTGTATGTAAAGATCCGTTATAGGGAGGACATGGGCGATCATACGGCCTTCGTGACCAATCGGCACGTTCCGTAAACCCACTCGGTGTATCATGGAAACAAACGGCTGGTCACGAGTGACGATATGGCATACGGATGATATGCGTGACATAGCCTTTAGATTTAACTAGAAGAGCATGCGTGAAACACGGTGTCTAGAATGAATTCTATGATTGTTACAATATTTAAAGCACAAAAGATATTATACTTCTAAATCACTCGTTCTATTATTATCTTGCATAAGGCTCAAATGTTACTTATTTAGAGATATAAGAAAGCACACCAAAGAAAATGTTACGCTTAATCAAATAAAATAAAGAGAATTTTACAATTTAATTGGAATTAAGATTCACATATCATGTCGCCAGAATATTCCAAAATGTGAAAGAGTCACAAAATAGAACTTCTGTCGGAACATATAAACTGTATAACATAACATTAAACAATCAGTCACTTTTGAGTAAGTTCATAAGTTCAGAGAAAAATAAGGAATGTTTCATGACTCAGAAAGTTTCTAATTAACAATAAACTGATGGGATTACTATTAAATCTATCCCCAATCCTATAAAGCCTTTTGTGAATTGTATTTTAACACGCACGGCTAGACTAAACAGGCGCTCTGTTATAAGTGGAGGTACAGCCTGGCGATAACACGCTTTTAGCCTTCTTGAGGGACCCACTATTGACGACCCTGTGCCGACTGACGGTAAGATTCTATCGATTGTCGGAAAGGAAACCCAAATTAAAACAACCCCAAGGTTTTTTCGCAATTGTCCCACTTTGGTCTCAACTGGGGATTGGTAAACCCGTCAAGAAACAGCTCACGTGACTTGGACGTTCGGAGAAAATTAAATAAATAGGTTTTGAATGAGAAAATTCACTGCATGTCTTGTGGCATCCCTACCGCTCGCAAAACGAACAACTTTTTTAGAAGAAAACTCAGAGACGCTGACCCAACCCTCTTACCAAACCCTATCCCAAAACACTAACAACTGCAACCATCAAACGCCCACTTGTGTGTCTTTAAATGGCAGGGGGGGGGGGGGGGGGGGGGGGGGTGAATGAACGGGGCTAAAGTCCCTTTTATGGTTTGGTTTAGTTGTTTGTTGTTTTACGCCGCACTCAGCAATATTTCATCTTTATGACGGCGGTCTGTAAATAAGCGGGTCTGGACCTGAGAATCCAGTGATTGACATCATGAGCATCGATTAACGAAATTGGGACACGATGACATGCATCAACCAAGTTTGCGAGGATGACCACCCGACCCCTTTAGTCGTCTCTTACGACAAGCATAGTCGCCTCTTAGGAAAAGCGTGGGAAGCTGAGGGTCTATTCTAACCCGGATCCTCACGGGTTCAAGGTCTCTGAGAGCAATACACATGTTACTTCACATCAGTAATGAGGGTGGAATATCAAACATCAAAGTGATACAGGTCGTAGACGTTTACCGTTAGCTGAAACCCATGAGCATAGTGCCGCTTCCTTTATGAAACAATTCTTAACGTGACAGAACCCATTCCATAGTAACAGACATTTACATACTTCAAAAAAGGGATTAGCAACACCCGTTTCTTTCATATTACTACAGTTAATCTATTATGGCATGACAGATATAACTGTATTAATATGAAGGAATCGGTGCGCCCTGATCTATTTAAGCACATTTCTCTTGGTGCCGTGCCAAAATGATATTTTCTAGTATATTATAACGTCTCTGAATCTTCAGTTTTTGCCGATGGAATTGAATTGTTCATGAGTGTGGGTTGTTTCCTATCATTAGCATAGTTACAACGGTATCCAAGACCACGGTCAGAATCAATACACAAGCAGGTTCTAACGTCATTGTGATTGATTAATTTGTCATTTTGATTGACATTTAGCGCAATAATCAATTTTTTCCACAGGCTTGATTAAAAACTACAGTCATAATGAGCCAACAACTGGGGTTATAAAGATTTCATGTAAGGGGAAAATATGCATTCAATTTGTTATTTCGAAGGTGAATGTTTGACACTGCGCTGTTTGTTATAAATAAAATTGAAAAGATGTCACGAGGTCATTTCAATAATTTCTGTTGGTGAAAAGGAATATCAGCTGAGGCTATCCTGCCGATGGGCAATAATCATGTATGTATTGATGATCACACAGAGAGATGTCGAATACCAACCTTCATAAAGAGAATCAAAGATACCCGTGAAAGTGGCTTCATTACGCCCAGGGCACTGAGTCGGAATAGATTTAACATTTACGTTTTCGATTAAAGTAAATATCAAAGGCCTTTGTTAATAAAAAAAGGTTTCCACAGAAAAAAAATCCATTGATTGTTGATACAGAGAAGCGTTGTAAGAGCTATGATTGGTTCTATTACATCTGATGAATCGCAGAACAAGTACATGCGTCACATACAACCACTAACCTTTGAATCGTGAAGGCTTTGCCGGTATAATCTCAAAGGAACTGACTGAAGAGTCCTTGAGACTAAGAGAGTCTGCCGAGCTGTCCATTCGAGAGCCAGACATACGACTATGCTGACTGTGGAGGCTATGGTCCATTGCCCGAGCCCCGTCCATGAAACTTGGCGAAGGACCCTGCGAGATCCGATGAGCTTCCGGGTATCCTAGCGGAAGTGCTGCAGCGCCCTCTACTTCCGGTACCTCGTATCCCTGAAGGTCCACGCCCTAGAACAAGCAATAAAGGCCGTGATATCGTTGTGAAAGATTTGCCGTAATGAAGGCATCGTGTTTAACAAGGAACACGGGCGTTGTTCCGTTGTAATTGGTAGTAAATCCTTTAGATTTGGATGGTACTTGTATTGAATGTGAAAGGTTGATAGGAGAATGTGATAGTCCGGCCTGGTGATATGATATAAGAGCTTTGTTTATTGTATCAGGGACATTCTGATAGTGTTAATACGTGACTGGCTTCTGATTTAGTTATTGTAGAATCTGAAAGAACTTAAGCCTTTACGAGGCTGTTCTCGTCGCATTGATAACAATATGTCTCCCGTGGGGATTGTGCGGAAGACTTGCTCCATACATGAGTATTTAAAGCCCGCCGTTACATAGCTGGAACACTGCCTACTGTGGCGTTCACATTCACTCATTCACCGCTAAAACATGTATCCATAATGCACATACATGTTGATTACAGGCGGTAACTAGTCATGCTTACATGCTGCTCTGATAACACGACCAACATGGACAACACAGTCTTGTTACGAATGGTTCGTATCGATGCCAAGGCGACACACTGAAAACCGCTTGTGTTACAAAAATGTAGCGTTTGGCAAACTAAAGTTGTTTTTACGTTTTAAAAGTTATTTGAAAATTTACTGTCAACGACATGAGAGTCAGCCTGGCTGTAAACACAAAACAGTAAAACCAAACACAACAAATAAAAACAGAGTGGTAAGAACACAATGGCCGGTTCCACAAAGCAACCTTAGTTAACCTATTATTATTACCTATTGTACTATACTATTATAGACACATGATGGCGCTGGCTACCACTTTGCGAGGCCCAGACTTAATGATGAAGTTGAAATAACTCTTGAACAACTAGGCTGCCGGATCATCCCTTGGACATATGTTTGCATAACGAAGACCAGATGTGTGTGTGTAGCAGGGCGTTGAGTCATCCCACAGATGACATCCTTACCTTGTCAGCTTGCTGACGGGGTTAACCTCTTTGGTCATATGGACAAGGCGTCCGACTTCTGATCAGAAGGTCCGTGGTTTGAATCTCATCACGGGACTCGGCAATTTTATGGCTGCTACATTGGCGCCCATCGTTGGGCGGAGCACGACCATATTTAATTTGAGCAAAATAAGCCTCAGTACCCTACTATGCGGCCCGGGACGTGCCTTCTGTTGCCGGGGGAGTATGAAGGAGGGCGTGGAGTCATCCCACAGATGACATCCTTACCTTGACAGTTTGCTTAGGGTTAACCTCTTTGGTCATATGGACAAGGCGTCCGACTTCTGATCAGAAGGTCCTTGGTTCGAATCCCATCACGGAACTCGGAAATTTTATGGCCGCTACATGTGCATACCCTTTTGGATACCCTTCCTAACTGTCCATTTAGACTTGTCAAGGCGGTCCTACGATCAGATGAGGACATATATTTGGACTTATACTTTGACCTACTTGTTGTTTTTGTATTGTTTGAGTATTGTAGTGTGAACCTGAACGCATGATTGACACAAAACAAAAGTGGAATAAAACCCATTATGTATGAGGAAACAGGTTGACCAGCGTTCACTTTAAATATTTGTTTAGAGATCCTTTCAATATGCAGTAGCCTTCAAATTGAATGCGTTGCCTCATGGAATCAAATAGACGCACAATCTGACCATCTTAAAGAAAGCTCTAGCAGTAGCAGTATCATCATGAAAAGCGCACAGAAAACAGAGATCTGTGTATGCTGTGCTATACAAATGTTGTTTTGTTGTTGTTGATTAACGCCGCACTCAGCAAAAGTGCAGCTATATGACGGCGGTCTGTAAATAATCTTGTCTGGACCAGACATTCTAGTGATTGACATCATGAGCATCGATCTAGGCAATTGGGATACGATGACATGCATCAACCAAGTCACGGCAAGCATGGGTTGCTGAAGACCTATTCTACCCCGGATCTTCTTCACGGGTCCGATATACAAATGAATGTAAATTATTATTATGATCTTCCTTATTCTTGATGTATTTCAGGTCACGGGACGATTTCAAAACACTCAGGCAATGGGTAACATACAATAACACTCGATGGCACAAAGACTGGAGGGTTAGCGGTTTCAGGGTCTGCACAGAACACCACTCGACACTGTCAATTTGGGGCCCACACGGAGGTTGGAAACACGACCCCGGGGGCGTGACACGGGGATACAGCGTGGGCTAATCACTGGGGGTAAAGCACATGGTCATTTGGGAGGGAGGGGGTCATGTCTAAACGCTACTTGCCATCCCGTGAGAAGGAGAAAGATACATAGGCGATAGCAGAGCCTGGTATAAAATTGCCCTTTCTGCCTCAGCGTACGTAGACATGAAATCCTGAAAATTGGGATCGTAAAAAACGCATGTGCAAGATTTTTCAGAAAATCACAAAAATATGAGGACTATAAGTGTGTGAAAGAGTAAAAACGAGAAGAATTGAAACGACATAAAATAATATGTCATGCATTATAATAATATAATAGATGAAAACTTAAAAATCATATTTAGCACAATCTATAGAAATTGCAAATACAAATAATGTCTACTATCAAGAAATAAAGAAGAAGACAAGTTAAGGTAGAGGTGTATATAAATAAGACACCTTAACACTCTATACAGTATACATATATATCTATTCAGGGAGAGGGGGCACGGGTGGCCCAGTCGTCTAAGGCGCCGCGATTCGCTGTGCAGAGTTGCGTCCCTTGGGCACGCCAGAAGCCTATGATTGTGGGTTCGAATCCCGGTTCGCCCCGATTATGTTTCTAGGTTTGTCAGCATCAAACCCGTGCTCGTGGGTTTCACCGAAGTGGTAAACGTCTGAGACCTGCATCACTTCGGGCTTTCCTCCCACATTAAGCTGACACGCCGTGATATAACTGGAATAATGTTAAAAGCGGCGTTAAACCCAACTCACTCACTCACTATTCAGGGAGAAGGCTTCTCTTATCTTCTCCCTGAAGATAAAGCTGAAACATGTTGGACAACAATCCGTGTCGTGTGATTATTTTGTGAATTTCTTTATATATGTGCTACAGTATACTAGTGAATCTCGTCACTCTGTTGTTTGTTTGTTTGTTGTTTAACGTCGCACTCAGCAATATTTCAACTATATGACGGCGGTCTGTAAATGATCGAGTCCGGTCTAGACAATCCAGTGATTGACATCATGAGCATCGATCCATGCAATTGGCATAACATCCCAACATAAACTGCTTGGTGTAAGAAAGTATATACCTGAAAATTGTATTTCACCTAAAAATCACAAACGTTGTCAAAACTTTACTTGGCTGACCTTGGTACAAAACAACCTTAGCGCTACGACTGTCGTAAGTCTGTGTGAAGGTATGGGAGTTACGATCACCTTAGCGCTAAGATCACTTTGTACAACGGCACCTTGTTGAGGGATACTCATTGATATGATGCATGTACTATCGTGCCCGCATCACATACCTCGCTATCGAATAACCATTTCTTGTTTGTTTCATTTTAGCTACCATCAAAATTTGGTGTCTACTAAGACCTTTTGCCCGACAATTTATGTGGATACTGCCTTTAATGCTATTTATAGAAAAGGGGTTTATAATATTTTCGCAAGGTACCTCTTCGCGGGGATCCAGTTGATCCTCCAACTCTCGCTCTAGGGGTAGATCTGCTTCCGGGTGGTAACCATGGTACCACAGACCCGTGCTCATTATCAGTCGTCGTCGCTTTTCACAGACCAAACACACCCATTCCTGAGCCTGTGAACAAATTCATCAACCGTTAAATATGTTATTGATGGATTACACTCAAGCATAATAACGCAGAATCACCTCCACCATGACCTCAAGTGAACCTTTGGAACTACTATTTTTGCGATGAAGTCAATATATTGACGTCGAGGTTCACGGGTACAATGAGAGAATATCCTTGAAAGGTTCTTCAAAGAAGCACATTTGGCTTTATTATGACTGGTCACATATTGCTTTGCCACCATCTACACAGTGAGATAGGACTGAAGAATCTATTTTTATGCATTGTCCATAGCTTCCACAGACACATGTACCGTTATTTGAGGGCCAGGGGATGCGTATTTTTGTAGTACACAAGCAGAAGGAATCGATATCAGGTAATGAAACAGAACAGGTGCGCTGACAGGTAGCTCTGATAGCACGCACTTATATTTGTAGTCGTGAATTATCGATGATCATGAATTCTTCCTGCTGTACAAGACCAGTTCAAACTCGTAGAAACCAGCGCACGTTATAGAACTGTCACGGTTTATTGGTTATATTTCAGAATCGGTTTTATTTAAGTGTAAATATACTGGTTCTATTATCAACTGTTATCGTTTGGCTATCATTATATGTTTTTGACTAAAGCTTATGTTTTCTCTCCCTGAAAGAACACATTCAGTTTGTTATTTTTGCCGCAATCAATACCATAACAGTGAGTGTCATAATTGAGAGCAAATCTTGTTTACCGTTTTTTAAAAATATACTGAATTAGGAAATATATTTCATTGTTCTTCTTTTAGAAGAGGTTCCTGCACATCATTGTGATCAGGCTATGCCTTCAACATTATAAACGTAATGAATACTTGCACTAATAGAAAGCATTTGTATGTGGTGAGGTTGGTCTGGCCTCACATTATCACTACCTAGAGTAGGTCTTCAGCAACCCAGGCTTGCCCTCAAGGGCGACTATGTTTGTCGTAAGAGGCGACTAACGGGCTCGGGTGGTCAGGCTCGCTGAGTTGGTTAATGCATGTCATCGTATCCCAATTGCGTAGATCGATGCTCATGATGTCAATCACTGAATTGTCTGGTCCAGACTTTACAGACCACCTTCATATATACTGGAGTGCGGCGTTAAGCAGCAAACAAACAAACACAAATCACATTATCACGTTACTTTCAGCCCCTTGTGACCTGAGTCCACAGATGACTCGCTCAGAAGAAAAGGCGCTTTTAGCAAATACGCGGCGGCCAAAACATGTCATGTGGTACAAGTCATATCCGGTAACACAGATACATGTTAAGCGTCCCCTCCTCCGAATTCAAATACGAATGGAGACATGACCACATCTCGAAAGTGTGTGTTGGGAGGAAAATATGAGAACAAAGTTCTTTGTTGTAAATTTTGGCGAGAGCAATTCTAAAAGAATTCCTTATTCAGAGAGGACCAATGAGTGTCATTCAATCACAGCCTACGATAGAAACTCGTGCAGTTAGGTAGACAGGAGCCCAGTCTATACAGTCTAAACGGAAGTGGTGTGTAAAATTCCCATCTGTCAAATGATTTTCCCGACATGCATGTGGCATTTTAAAACGGAAAATCCGGAATCCGGAATGCATAAACAACAATATCTTGAACACACCGCTCTTACTGTAAACGGAACCGCACATAAATAACATTTGAACAACTGTCGGCAGTGAGTGGGCATGTTTTATGGATGTGTATTTAATGCAAATTGTGTGAATGACGGGTGCTACCGGGAGGGCGGGATATGCACACCCTTTTCGCGAACACCTGGTGTCATCGCTGATTTTCAGTGGTCCAATCATATAATTTTCACAGCTATTTTGACCTGTACGCCAAATAGAATCTGTTTGGGCGGATAATCAAGACTGGTTCTTCTCTTGCATTTACATTTTCAATTTACGCTACTTTGGCCATTATTCCGAACAGGTCTTTGCTAGGAATACAGGGTGTGAGGTGAAGTGAAATGGGGTCTAACGTCGCGTCCAAGATTATTGCACTTATATAGCGACTTATTACATGTTTATATAGCACAGGTTACACCTGTACACCATAATACCTGCACGTGCACATCATCTGTTACATCCGTACGTCGCAGAAGCAACATGCACACAGCACCTATAACACGTGTACACAACACCTACACGTGCACACAGCACCTATAACACGTGTACACAACAAAGGTACATTTATACTGCACGTTCACAACACACCTAATACACTTATACACAGCACATGCACGTTTATACAGCACCTGTAGGTGCACAATACACCTAATACGCATATATACGGCACATACACGTGTACACAACATCTACACGTGCACACAGCACCTGCACGTGAACAGAACACCTGATACACTTAAAACATGACTCCTACACGTGTACACAACACCTGCACGTGCACACAGCACCTGCGCGTGCACAAAACACCTAATACACGTATCCATGACACATACTCGTGTACACAACAACTACACGTGCATACAGCACCTATAACACGTGTACACAACGCATGCACCTGTACACAGCACCTGCACATTTACACAGCACCTGTACAATACACCTAATACACTTATACACGGTACATACACGTATACACAACACCTATACGTGCACAAAACACCTAATACACTTACACACCTAATACTTGTCTAGACATCACATACACGTCTACACAGCACCTGCACGTGCACAAAACTCACGTGCACACAAGATCTACACGTGCACATAGCAGCTATTACACATGTAGTCACAGCGATCACTCAGCAACTGTCCACATTCAACTCTCTGTAAACTCTCCATCAGGAACGCGATACTCCAGCAGCGGGGGCGAGCACTGGTCAGCACATGTACACTGCCCATCACACTACGTGTCAATTACAAGTCAACTCATGTACATAGCGGCGCCAAGAGAGGGGTTTAATGAATACGTCAGCACAATGGTAATGTGTGTTGTGTATATCCGCACTGACTGCACCGGAGGATATTAACACTATCGCCTCCTATAACACGCTAAGGTAATCCTCCACACACGGCGTGGTAATGAACATCATAAGGTTGGTTGGTTGGTTGTTTAACGCTGCACTCAGCAATATTCCAGCTATATGACGGCGGTCTGTAAATAATCGAGTCTGGACCAGACAATCCAGTCATTAATATCATGAGCATCGATCCACGCAATTGGGATCGATGACATGCATCAACCAAGTCAGCGAGCTTGACCACCCGATCCGGTTAGTTTAACGACAAGCATAGTCACCTTCTACGGCAAAGCATGGGTTGCTGAAGACCTATTCTACCCGGAATATTCGATTCATGGGTCACATCATAAGGAAATTAGTGTGTCTGACACAAGCATACATTGTCCATCATCGGCAAATTTGACAACTATAAACAATATTTATCATTTGATTTGCATATAATTTCTAAGGATTCGTTAATAGGATACTACTATTTTGTTGGAAACGAGCTGTTTATCCGATACTTCAATAGTTAATACTACTTGGAGGTGTGGGTATTTAGAATGTATATATCTGTGTTGGTGAGGGTGGGGCGACTCTTTTGATGGCCAGACCACAATTGCACACTCATGGTATTAACTCCTACCCCCACCCCTATCTCAATCAATGCACCTCCTAACCCCGACTGTCCTCGTGGAATATGCATGACTTTGTGCATCACGCTACCGCGTTGGACACATATGGCCAGATGTCGAAACCGTCGCAATTCGCTATGATGAGTTGCGTCCCTTAAGCGTGCCAGAAGCCTATGATCGCGAGCTGGAGTTCCGGTTCGCCTTGATAATATATCCTAGGTTAGTCAGCGCTATGCTCTTGGGTTTAACCAAATTGGTAAACATCAAAGACGACATCACTTCGGACTTTCCTCCCATATTAAGCTGACACGCCGTGATATAACTGAAATACTGTTCAATGCGGCGTTAAACCCAACTCACTCACTCACTCATAATTGCTTCCCAACCCTTTGTTAACCTTCGAATAATCCGTCATCGAAAACCATCATCCCCCAGACAGCTTGCATCTCATCCCACCACATCTCCCAACACTATTTCACAATGCCACGCTGATGCATCACGTCATCTGATGTGGGTGCACGCTGTCCCGACAATATTTCTTATGTACGCCAACATTAAGTGATATAACTGAAATACTGTTCAAAGCGGAGCTAGGTCCAAACGAAGTCCCGGGGAACGGATGGAAAGTTAATAAGTCCTAAATAGAACAGTTAATTATGTATGTGAAATACTACCAGCGGGCCACGCCGAGATCTCAGCTGGAACGTAATGGTATATTTTAATTGATGTATCAGGTTTCCTGGAATGAAAACTATACTCTAAGGTAATGTTTTAATGTGAACTACATTCTCCAGTTGTCGGAATGACATTATTATTCTGTTCAATCTACGTTTATTTGAATGCCTAGGATTGTAGCTGTACTAACAATTGCGATCCTCAGTCAGGATTCAGGTCGTTGTCTCTTGATGATATCGACTATATTTGGAATAATCCTTGTGATTAAAACGCCTGTATATTTTATTCCTATACACAGGACACTTTAAACTTTATCCTATGTACAAGCGCCAGTGAACAAATAGCAGATGGGTATTAGGCGCAGTAAAAAGCCATCATCATCATCATCATCATCATCATCATCATCATCATCATCATTTTTGTAAAGTAATTCATTCTCTGAAATAAAGTAATATAATACAAAGGACACGTGTTTTTCTTGTCAAATAAAATGTTAAGTTAAAAAATGCCGAAGTTAATATCCAAGATTAAACACACACACATATATTTTATTTATAAAGCATTTTCTTACTGATCTTCATGATCGTTCTGTGCCTAAACCTAACACAACCGTTAATGTATCCTAACGGGTTTTTATAATAACCTTACACATACGTTATTATTACCTAACTCATACATCGCTACGTTGATATGTCCTAACCCAGACGTTATTATACTCTACCACTGA